GCGTGGGGGCTGTGCACTCGTGTCTTCTGGTACCTGAGATGTCGAAGGCGTGGAAGTAACCGATAGATTAGGCATAGGCTGTTTATTCGAGTCGCTTGCAGTTAAATGAGACGTTTCAGACTGCGATTTTGGTGGAGGGAGAGGAGGAAAGCCTGTCGTGTCGGTCTTGTTTCGTCGCGTTTTACGGGGCTTAACCTTGGTAAAACCGTCAGGGAGTGTATCGTCGTCTGTGGAAAGATCGCTTGAATTATTTAACGGTCTCTTAAGATTGACAGCTTTGTCTTTACTGAGATTTTTGGGAAGTGTTTGGGAAGAATGTGTAATATTTAGATGGGAAGGTACCTGGGTTTTCAGTAGGAGGTCTAATTTAACTGTTAGGTCGGTAATTGTCCGCTGCTGGGCTTCGATGATCATCATCAATCTTTCATTGGTCTTCTTATCATCGTCCTTTTTTGACAGCTCCTGTCGAACCATCTCCAATTCGGCTCTCAACTCCTCTATGGTCTGCTCCTTCGACTCCATCTCCATTGCCATGGTGGAAGCGCCATTTCCTGACCCCCCTGGGTCAGTTTCCATAGTAAACACCTCGGTTATCTCGCTTTTCGTCTAAAAAATTTTCCGGATCGAAATTACGGGACAGCTGCTATCAGTTCCCTATACAGGGCGATTTTGACACTACTTTCACGGCAAAATTGGAGAGCAGATTTGAACAACATTTTCGAAACTGAGGTAGTATGTTATTTGGATGTTATATGACATGTACATGTTGTTCTGGTATGGTATTCCACGTATTCCTGCCTGACCGTGCTGCCATGTCTGACAGGGTTAAGTATCGGGGAAGAGCGACGTTTCCATATGCACTACCGGTAGGGCAGGGAAAGAGTGTCTATATAGTGATTTTTTTCATAGAAGTGTTACGTATCAATCAATCAGTAATTTCACCTCGCTTCCTTTAGATATTGAACAATTACCGTTACGAAAATTTAGGGTAGGCCTTAAACAGTATTTGTACGATAGACACATGTAAAACATTAGCTTATCATAACAGACTAGCAAGTAGGATAAGTGAGTTTGTAGTACATACAGGGATTATCCGGAAAGTAATAGGACTCATTTTCTGCCGCCATGACTGTACTTCGGAGCGTGCGCGCACCGATTGGATTCGCTAGAGGGCGTTCCTAGCTAACGAATGTGTTTCTGTGAGTGGTAAATCTGCGACAGAGACGTTTGATATAATCAAGCAGGCTTACACAGGTGTTGCTTTAGCAAGAAGTTGTGTGTTTCGGTGGCACCAAGACCTCCGACTTCGACAAACACCGATAATGTTTTGAACTCAGACCGTCGACTAAGTATTCGTTTAATTGCCCAGATGTTAAATTTACCAAAATCTGTGGTTCATGACATTGTGACACAGCATTTGAACATGCGCAAGATGGTCCCAAAAGTGCTCACTGACGACCAGAAATTGCGGCGAGTGGAAGTGTGCCAAGAAAATTTGAACAAGTGTGAAAGTGACCCCCAATTTTTGAATAACGTAATCACAGGTGACGAGTCGTGGATCTTTGAGTATGATCCCGAGACAAAGAGGCAATCTTCCGAGTGGCACACGACGGCGTCTCCTCGCCCAAAAAAGAGAAGAATGAGCAAATCCAAAGTGAAAATGATGCTCATTGTCTTTTTTGACATCAAAGGCATCGTCCACTATGAATTTGTTCCTCCTGGACAAACCGTCAACGCCAAGTTTTACGTGGAAGTGCTCAGGAGACTCAAACGAAGGGTCAGTCGGGTCCGACAAGACATCGCAGCCGACTGGAAGTTGCACCACGACAACGCCCCGGCTCACACCGCCTTTCTTGTGAACAGCTACCTGGCCAAGACCGGCATACCAATGCTTCCGCAGCCGCCCTATATCCCAGATGTGCCCCCCCCCCGGACTTTTTTTTTGTTTCCTATCCTGAAAAGGCCGATGAAAGGCAAGCATTTTGAGACGACAGAGGGGATCCAAGCAGCATGCACCGCGGCTCTCAAGGCTATTCCGGAGAATGCCTTCCGTGACGCCTACAATGCTTGGAAATCACGCTGGCAGCGCTGTATCGACGCAGAAGGAGACTATTTTGAAAATTTTTAAAGAATTGTAACGATTGGCTCAATAAATTTTTTTAAATCGACTCAGTCCTATTACTTTCCGGACAAACCTGTAGGTTTGCTTATTTCTTTTGTCTATTTAAGATGGCACGTCCCTTTTTTAATTTTTTTTCACCTACCTGTTTGCAGCAGTAATCTAAATCCTTTTCATCTGATCATTTCATGGTGTGTATAGAGATGACTAACAATGTTTTAATTTTTTTTTGTTAAACAATTTTTTTGTGCATTTTTTCTTCAATCGGAACTTGATAACAAATAAAAGTATAGCTCAAATTGTGCGTGAATATCCCTCTTTTATAGAAGAATGAAACAGGTGATTACTTTTATTCTCATCACTTTTTCTCTTCGAAAAATCTCTGCTTTTTTGAAATCTCAACTTGCTGCGAGACCAGGGTTCAAGTAAATCAAAGGTTTTTCAAAAAAAATGAGTGTTAAGAATAGATGAAATCACCTGTTTCATTCTTCCATAAAAGAGATTGAAGGAAAAATGCACAAAAAATGAATTTCTTGACAAAAAAAATATTAAAACATTGTTTTTTAGCCATCTCTATACAGCCATGAAATTATCAGATGAAAAGGATTTAGAATGCAAAAGGTAGTTCAAAAAAAATCTAAAAAATGGACTTGCCACCTTAAGATCTTTCATTTTCAAATTCTCTAGCGTACTACAGATACATAAGGTTAGGTGTAAGAGTAGCTTTAAGCTAAATCTCGCCTTTTGTAGATAATGGTAATGAAGACGATTATTATTATTAATATTATTATTTTTAATTGTATGGAAATATTTGACTGACTTTCTCAGAGGGTCTAGTTTGTGCTGAACATATTTATGAACAACTGATAACAGCGCGTTGCGTGGGAGGTGCGGAGTCAACCCAATTGACGCCATTTTTTGCCAGGTGTGTTCTAGACGACACTGTGCGGCGCCGCGGTACATTTTTTATATATATCGAAGCAGCGGTGCAGGCAGAAGCTTAAATGCCAGAACAACGCGGCTGCTATGATAATCTCAAAGAAATTTTGTTAATACGATTTTTGAACTGTGTAAGGTTAGTAGAACTGGGAAAAGCTTCATCTTGTAGATTGTTCCACAATCTCGACACCCTCGGGACAAAGGAGCGGTCGTATCGGCCAGTTCTGGATGTACGAAGTTCGACACGGTTAGGATGGGACGCCAAAGTCGGGCGGGTCTGCCTAGCAGGCACATAGCGCGGCGGCATCATGGAAGAGAGCTCTGAGGAGCAAAACCCGTTGGTTCAGGGGTAGAAAAGAGCTGGATCGCCGGTGGGAAAGAGTCATCGATCAGTCGGACCGCCCTCCTCTCGAGCGTCGAGCATAAATAATGTAGTCGGGGCGGCAGCACCTCAAACGTGTGAGCAATACTCGAGGCTAGGCCTTATCTGGGCCTTGTATCGAGTGAGAAGGTCATGCGGAGAAAAGTACTTTTAGCCCTAAACAAACAGCCTAGCTTTTTCCCAGCAGCTGCCGCTATTGACGAGATGTGTTCGTGCCAGATCAGGTCCTCGGTGATCTGAACTCCGACCAGCCGAAAGGAACGGCTCTTTGGAAGAACTCGGCCATCTATCGAAACCGGATGAGCGGTAGGACGCTTTTTGTTCATCAAGGTACAGTACTGCGTTTTGGAAGCCTTACACTGTACAAGGTTGTTGCGTCCCCAAGCAGTTGATAACCTCCAGGTCTCTCGTCAGAGAGGAAGTCGTCGCTAGTCTTCTTTTTTCCAGCTCTGCGGCAGAGATCGGCAGGTCACTCTGAATATCTGCTTGTAGAGTGCTGTCATCAGCGAAGCTGTGGTTTGGGTTGATCGTGCAGGAAAGGAGGTCGTTGATATGTAAGAGGAACAGTGTCGGAGTCAATATCGATCCCTGGGGAACACCCGCGTTGACGTTGTGGGATGAAGAGGAGAACCCGTCAATTACGACGGATATCTTGCGGCCAGAGATAAAGTCAGCCACCCACCCGCAAAGCTTTTCTCGGAGGCCATAGGACGGAAGTTTGCTTAAGAGGCCAGCGTGCCACAGCTGATCGAACGCTTTCGTGATGTCAAGAGCAACGATATGAGCCTCACCATAAGACTGGATGAGTTTAGTCCACAATTGCGTGACGTAGGCTAGGAGGTCCCCTGTGGATCGTTGGTGCCGGAAAGCATACTGCATGTCGCTAATCAAGCTGTGACGTTCGAGGTAGTCCAGAAGCTCGCGGTTTATCCACCTCTCCATCACCTTACTCATAACAGAAAGCAGAGCTATAGGCCTGTAGTTGTAAGGGTCGGTCTTAGATCCTTTTTTTGGGGTGGGTTGGAAATGAGCAAATTCCCAGTTGTCTGGGAAGCCGCCGGATTCATAATATATATATATATATATATCTACCACCTCCTATTTACGTGTTAGTGATATTAAATAGACCTAAAGTGGTCAGTTGGCGGACTTGTACCGCCACCCGGAAATCAGTACTGAGGTATTCCTTAACGCGTGTACAATCACTTGAACGGGAAGAAGCTGTATACTGGATACAACAACTTCCGGAACAAGCATTTGCCACGGCCCCGCTCAGTACGGGTTAAAGTACATACGTGTATATTATGTTTATTTTCGCGCAGGCATGGCTTAAACATTGGGCTAGCCATCATCTGGTGCAGTATATTAATCATTGGTATATAACGTAAAATTTGTGAGACGATTCTTAAATAAGAAAAAAAAAATACGCTTTAAGTGAATTAATATTCAGAATGATGTTACGTACAAAGTATGTTTTTGGACGTCGAATTTTTTCATCGTCGTTGTCTAAGAGTCAATCTGCATATTGAAATACTTTGCTTATTCATTTCTATTTCCCAGCAACGTACAATCCACAATATGAAACGGCAAATAAGGAATTTCCTCATCCTATATGGTATAATGCTGACTATCGTAAGGTAGAAACTGAAACGAAAATGGAAGAAACAACAAATAGTGACGAGGATATGGATGTTGGCGAGAAACCAATAGAAGAATCTGATGATGAAGGATCTGATACGTCTTCTGAAACTGACAGGTTAGCATATCTATGAGTTCCAGGTAAAAAGTAGGGACCGAACATGAAATCACACATAGATTTTTGCCGCTGGTCGGGCAGGACCTAGGCAAGTTATAGTTATTCACATTTTCCATGATGCTTGATGCAAATGGTACGGTTGCTCAATTCAATTTTTCGAATTTTGTATCCACATTTGGAATTCCATAAGTCCGCATACGGAAAGTAGGTAATATTTCGAGAAATGGGGAGTAATCTGGAAAACTAGAAGCAGATGTCGCTAGCTGGGTTGGAGGTCATGTCAAAAGCCGCGTACAGACCGAGATTCCAAAGCAAGCCAAGGCACATGTGGTTACAGATTGGGAGGTGTTCGGTTTCCAAGGTAGCCGTTGGCGTTCGCTCCTTGACCGGTACATCAAAGGGAGGTTTGATTTGGTCTGGACAGGATTTGCGGCACTTCTAGTATTTAGTCGTTTGTCTACATTGGGTGAGGGGAGACTTGTTGCTCAACATTAACACCGAACTTAACCCAACGCGGTCCAACTCGAAACTAAATTTAGGTGTAGACGACGTGTAGACGAGCGCATTCCAATACCTTCCAACGACAAACGTCAACGTCACATGTGCTTGCATTCGCTTGCTCGGCGTTGAATTTTCGGTCTGTACGCGGCTTAAGGCCATCAGTAGTTACTGTCGGTATTTACTGATCATTCCGTCAGTGTCATTGAATTGATACATAACCTTATCATCAATAATTACTGATATATTGGCTACACGGTCAACAAATATAACATTCCATAATACTGATGAATCACAGTAAATTCGCCTAAGGTTACAAGCACGTTACAAGTTAGAAGCTGGATGTCAACACAAAACATAAATACTTAAGAAGGACACAACTTATGTCGGTGCCAAGCCGCCATTATTTTCTGGATGCAACATGATTGCCAGGTTGTGCACGAACGCCACATGCGTCGTTGTCAACGCATTGCATAAATCTGAGCCTGTTTTATAATTTTATAGTGCGCATTTCTAATGGTATATGGAAGTTTTTATAACGCCATGTTCAACATATTTTTGCTGTTTTGACAAACAAGTACTCACTAATCTATTATAGTAGCAGCGTCGATAACATCATTATAAAATCGTCCATATACAGGGTGACTTTATGTGTGTAAAAATAAAAAAAAAAATAAAAAAAAAATGTTACCTTGTTTCATGAAGTATCCTCCCGACAAGTATTTCAGTGCGGACCTGTATTTGATCGTGATGTCTTGGAGCACCGGCATGCTCTCCCCTGTGAGGTCTTAAGTCACCTGATTCACGAGCCCGTTGTACTACATTAACAAAGGCACGAAGGGTGTGGTTGCACTCGATTGGGAAACCGATCCGCATAAACATGTGCCATTTTTTATTTCGTTTGAGCCACGCAGCAAACACCACTATTCACTCACGCGTTACCGACTGACACATTGACTGAATAAAAACATCGTGATAAGCGTTTCAAATTCTTTCACTTTTTTGTTTCCGATGCGATGAACCGATAAGGCGGATTATATCCGTTGTTGCCAAACACGAGCACATAATATTATTATTGAGACAGGGCGGTACTCAAACTTCTAAAGGGCTATAACTTTGTTACTTTAATTTTACCAGAAAAATGTTAAAGGAAAAAACATTTCTTTTGATCAGATCTACTCACTGTTAAAATAAATGACTCAACTTCGAAGTCACTAGTATACTACAGTTCATTGAAATATGAGAAAAGTAAAAGAATCTATACCTACTTGAGGATGTATTTTTAACTAAATTTTTGAACAGATCAATAACATTTATTGTCCATATATTTTCATTCCTGGTGATGGTCTTCTATAGCACCTGCATGGAAAAATTGTTAAAATTTGTGAATAAACAAATGCTCTTCAAAAAGAAATAATAGTTGTCCTTAACGACTGCAAGCTTACTACATTCATCTGGAATATTCAATCACATTTCCAAAACATTGATAATCAGAATGTGAAAGTTTGGTGCAAAATATGATTATATATAATTCATGTAATTTTTACTGCATAATCATATCACACTTCATACAAGATTATATATATGTACTCGTATATATACAGGGTGTAAAGGTAGTAGTGGATCAACGGAATTCAGGTGATAGAGGGCCTCAAAACATATCGAATGAACCCCTATATGTGAGGTCCGAAATTTTATATTTTTATATTTATATTTCCAATTTTGTGAAATTTCGAAAAAAAAAAACGGGATAATGAACTTTCAGTCGCAATTACAACTAAACCATTAGGTTTAGTGCTGTGAGTTTTTCTTGAGATGAGCTAAACGGTTAGTTCTAGCAATGGTTATGTCACTTTTTAACAGCGCTAATTAGAAATCAACGCAAAAAATTTTAAATTCATTTTTTTGTGAAAAATCTCTCCAATCCCTCAACTTTAGAGGGTGGTAAAAAAATTTAGGTTGTATTTCAAGGAATTCTATTTTACGAGCTACAGTCCAAACGACTTGTTGGATTTTGACATATGACGTATTGTCAGATTCGTCCTAGCAGTGGGAGTGATACTGTGTGTATTAACATTTTTTTAAATCAAAATGGCGGATTTTTTACGCAAATAGTGCGGGAGCGTTCAATCTTCGGTCCGACTGAAATTACTAAGTCAGGCAATGGTCCAGCGCGGAATTTCTAACGTTTGGCATCTGAGTAGAATCATATCATATTCTCCGCGAAATTATGCAGTAATGCATTACTATTATGGTACTGCTCTAGAAAATGCTCGCATGTATCGGGAGTATGTGGTTAGAAGAGCTGGGCCACAACCGGCGGTATATCCCGACTTCCGCGTACATAATGCGTCAGTTAGGAGCACCGAGGCTTCGCCCAGAAGAAATAGAAGATTTAATAGAAGCAGCTGAGAGCGAACCCTCAATAAGCACCAGAGCCATTGCCCAAAGCAGAAACATATCCCATACTTCAGTGCACATAATACTACGCTCAGAGAACATGCAACCTTACCACATACAAAAAGTACAAGAATTACTTCCAAGCGACTATGCTCAACGGGTTGAATTTTGTGAGAATATATTGAGAAGGTGCGAAGAGGATGAAACTTTTATCGACAGCATCTGATGGACAACATCAACCGAAATGGAATATTCAACGTGCACAATTTCCATTCATGGAGCGTGGAAAATCCACACGCTATTCGCCGACACAGCTTTCAACGTCAGTTCGGCGTTCATTTATGGGCTGGAGTACTCAACAAAAAATTAATTGTACCATATAAATTACCCACCAGGATGAATGGTCACTCATATCTTGCTTTCCTACAAAGCAGTTTGCTTGAGCTGCTACAGGATGTACCTTTGGACGTTCGAAACCGCATATATTTTCAATGCGATGGTGCCCCATGCCACTTTGCACGGGATGTACGGCATTACTTAGACAGTGCCTTTCCTGGGCGTTGGGTAAGTAGAGGTGGACACATACGATGGCCTCCAAGATCATCCGATTTAAATCCTCTATATTTTTTTATATGGGCATTTTATAAGGAGATAATCTATACATCTGAATATACAAATGGCAACCTACTGCGCCATAGAATTGATGGAGCAAAAATAAAAATTATCGAAAACGCAAATTCATTTCAAAGACTAAAGGACAATTTCATTAGAAGCTGTCGCTTGTGTAAAGAAAATATTTGAGGCCATTTCGAACATGTTCTTTAGAAATTAGTTAATCCACATTTTTGTCGGTAAATCGCCATAAAGAGCGGCTAAACACAATAGGTTCTGTACTTGTAGGTGGTAAGGATTCTACGAGTATTACGTTTCTTACGTTTATCGCATCACAACAATGGATGTAACATCATACACTCATCGTAGCAAGCTGAAATTTTCAGGGTTTATTCTACATGAATTGAAATAGTTTTTGCAATAAAATGAATAATGAAATACAACCGCCCTCCAAAGTTGAGGGATAGAAGGGATTTTTCACAAAAAAATGAATTTAAGATTTTTGCGTTGATTTCTAATAAGCTTTGTTAAAAAGTGACATAACCATTGCTAAAATAACCGTTTAGCTCATCTAATAAAAAAAGCACAGCCCTAAACCTAATGGTTTAGTTGTAATTGCGATTGAAAGTTCATTATCCCGTTTTTTCGAAATTTCACAAAATTGCAAATATTTTCTGATCTATAAAATTTCGGACCACACATATAGGGGTTCATTCGATAGGTTTTGAGGCCCTCTATCACCTGACTTCCGTCCACTACTAACTTTACACCCTGCATATACAGGGTGGCCCATCCCTTTAGTTCTAGTGATTCAAAATACGACTTGAACGTTAGTCTGCGAGTATCGTCAGTTTTCGCTTTTATTCCCAGATTGTATGCCTCTGTAATAGGTGAGATTGCCATTTTGCGTTGATTAACCAGCCTTTTCAAAGACATGATTCTGATTATTTAGAATAACATTGATTGTTCATTTTGAATGAAAATTGATAACAATAATTTGCTTACTATACTGATATCCTGGACCGTGTATACTGCAAAAGGTTCACAAAAGGCACTAAGAACACAGCTCGGTTTCACTTATTTGAATATATATGTGGATGTTCAACAAAAATCTTATATAATATTGACTTCTCGAATTTTACCAGCAGACAACAAAATTTTTTCCTTTTTATTCGGAGGTGTTTTTGCTTACACCCTTTTTTGGGTTATTTACATGAAATAACGGTTCTACGACTGAGCTACGATTTGAAAGGAAGCAAAACTGTGAGAGGGAATATACAAACTGGCGACAATAATTACGTAATCCTTAATTATATTTTCGTGGAAAATTTCAAAAATTACCGCGAAAAATCCGGGCTCGAATGGCCAAAAATGATCCTGCAAAGATGATTCTAAATTGTGGAGAGCCGCGGGACTGTAAGCGCGTTCAGATATAATTAAGGTAATAAAGTAATCGACACCCGAGCTATACAAAGGCAATGCAGGATTGGTAGTTCCTGGGTGTTCCTCTCGCCTTGTCTGGAGGAGCTCCTCTCTCTACACAGCTTCTTAGGTTCAGCACACTTGTCTTAGCGAATTTATAGTTTTGTACCGGGTTTAAATAGTCGAGTTTTTAAAGACGACCGTTGCCTTTTTCGATCTTGACGAGTTGACTTCACGAAATCTTCGTCTTCTTGTGCGCATGTTTGACTTGTAAGCGGACGTGCCAAAGGGTTTGAATTTGTATGGCTTTTGAGTTCAAATAACGAAGTATGTTTTAGAACTTGCATGAACAGTAGGTATTCAAATCAAAATACTTCGCCACAATCACAGCAAACAAGTAAATAATGTTTTTCGCCGCTACTGGTTCCATCAAACACATGACATCTCGTGTGGGAGAGTAACGAACCATGCTTCCAACGTTGTAACATCCTTTGACGCGGGTCAAATTTACCGACAAGAGCCCGAACGTGCCATGTGGCGAACGTTGGACACATGTAATTCGTCAGCGCTCTCCCACACGATGTGGCGGATGGCCATGTGTCCAACGTTGTACGGCATTCGCCACATCATGTGAGACCGGTTAGGCTGTAACAGTTGTCATCACAAACTGTCATCGATGTCAGAAAGATTTTTGTTTGCTGGCCATATCCATTTAGCATTTTGATAAAAATGGGACGATTTTATTAATTTGTGCTAAATTTTTCTGCCTTCTTGGCTTAACTATTTTTTTGTGGATTTAGATGTTGTAGATGGATTTGCCTTAAGAACACCATTCTGTTTCAGATGCGTGAGTAACGATAAATATCTGATTTTTACGACGGGTTTCAAAACCTACACACCGCATCAAATCGGCTTCAAAAGGATAAAGCCATTCAAATTTCCAAAGACAATAGACCCAGGACCTAGCCTCAAAGAAAGGATAATACTATTTGAGCAGAGAAAAGAACAAATGAAGTCAGGTAGTCCTCCGCCTGATCCTGATTGGTTAGACTTTGAACAGGTTGCTGATAAGTTCGATAAGATCGATCACTTGATTGATCTTCACGGACATATTGTTGGAATGGGCTTAAGCCCTGACCATAGGTAAATCCTAATTTGTACTAACTCGTTTGCTTTCGAGAACCTATTGTAATTAATTAAAAAAATCAGTGAGCACCTACATCTCAACCAAAACTATCAACCATCTGTTAAACTCAAAATTTGAACTTGAAGGTAAATAATATGGAACTAGAAACTATAAGCTTTTTTTAACCTGTTGGCCTCCAGTACAAACTAACAATTAGTTTCTATCAGGGACTGTCATATACAAACATTAATGTAAATGACAGATATAAGGCTGTCCAACTACGTATTAAATTCATCTGTTCTATTATAAAAAACCGTTTGCAGCTATCACAAACTCATATCGGAAATAACCCCGAGATTCAGAGATAAAGACATCAAAAACGTTAGCTCACTGTCAACCAGGACCAAATAGTATTTCAGGGTGACAACCAGGAATCGGATGTTTTTAGAACGCATAGTACGAAGCTTGAGGAGATTAGAGTGGGCCAAGTGCGATGTGACTACCCTTGTAGTAGTGGGCAATTCCATTATTGATAGAGCAGTGAACGTTAGAAATGACGAGTCCACGATCACCACATATCTCTGCCGCTGAGCTGGAAAAAAGAAGACTAGCGACGACCACGAGGATATCACTGTACACAGTACTCTGTATCTACCTTGACGAACAAAACGCGTCCTAGCGCTCATCCGGTTTCGATGGATGGCCTAGTTCTGCCTTAGAGCAGACCATTTCGGCTGGTCGGAGTCCAGACCACCAAGGATTTGATCTGGCACGAACGCATCTCGAGATACTTTTTTTTCGCATGACCATCCCACTCTATACAAGGCCCAGATAAGGTCTAGCCTCGAGTACTGCTTACACGTTTGGAGTGCTGCCACCCCGACTACATTATTTATGGTCGATGCTGTCCGAAGGAGGGCTGTCCGACTAATCGATGACCCTTTCGCATCGGCGGGCTGTCGGCGATCTGGCTCTCTTCTACCGCTACACCATCGGGCTTTGCTCCTCAGAGTTCTCTTCCATGATGCCGCCGCGCGATGTGCCTGCCAGAACTGTCCCGACGGTGACCAGATTGCGGAACAATCTACAAGAGGAAGCTTCTCCCAGTTCTACTAACCTTAAGCAGTTCAAGGGATACTCACAGCAGCCTCAGTGTTCCGGCATTTAGGCTTCTGCGTGCGCGGCTACCTCGGTATATAAAAAAAACTCGGCGGCTTTTTCGCAATCACTTTAATATTGGAAGACGTAAAGCTGTTACATTTCGCAACACAGTCTTAAGATGGGTGAAGAATCTAAGAACAACAGGTAATCTAATGAACAAAAAGCAACCTGGTTCAAAAAGGACGGTAAGAACTCCTGAAAACGTAGGGCGAGTAATAAAAGCGGTCGTCAGAAGTCCTACATGCTTCGCCCGAAAATATGTAATTGAACTAAATATGAATCGGGAATCGTTTAGAAAAATTTTACCTCTGTAAACTACAGGTTGCCCAGCAATTAATGGAAAGCGATTTTTCGTTTCACTTAGAACAGTTAATGTACAGAATTTTAGGTACTGGCCTCCTAAAGATCCATGAGCGACCTTTACGTTCTGCAAAAGTCACAGTATGGTGTGCCATTGGTCCAACAGGCATTATTGGTCCTTTTTATTTTTTTGAAGAGACCCGTCACCGTTAATTCTGATCGCTACGTTCAGATGATCAAAAATTTGTTGGTGCCAGAACTACGCAGAAAAGGGATAAACCCCAGGTATGTGTGGTTTCAGCAAGATGGTACCACGGCACATACAGCGAATGTTGTCCGCAACCTTTTTCCAGGAAAACTCACTTTATGTTTCGGAGATGTGCCGGGGCCTCCAAGGTCTTCAGACCTGACAAGCCCCGTAGTTTGGTCGAATTGAAGAACGTAGTTCGCAAGTAAAGCCTGATTATTGACGAGCAATGTTAGAGCGTGTTATGGAGAATTACAAACGAGAATCTAAAACTGCATACAACTTGATGGTCACCATCTTCATGAATGACATTATACACATTGTAAATGGAATAATGTAAGCTTCATTTTGATGTTGATAAAATCTCATTATCTCGCAAATTTCTTCTGTAATATACTTATTTCAAAATCGTCCAGTTGCCAGTTGTCACCCTGTATAAAAGAAGACACTTCGTGGAATGTGTTTATAATCCGCCGCTCAGCTACATTGACCTTGATCAGTTCGGCACATACATAGGCAACATATTATTTGTATGTATGGATAACTATTTGAAATTTCTTGTTTGAATTTCAAAGTTTCACTTACCGAATGATATTAATGTCAAGAAAGGTCCAGCTTGCGGACCATTCGCCGTTAACGTTTGAAAGTGAATTTTCGTAATATTGCGAAATTCAGATGCGTTCCTCTAAATGACACATGCACAATAATTTCTTTTTAAGGTAAAGTCGTGAATATGGCGCTAAACTTGAATCCCGAGCTACCTATTGAGACGCCGTTTACTGAATGTGGATTTTATATTATAGGTATTTGTATGTGAATAGCCGGTCCTGGCCTGAAAACTATATGATAAGTAATCCATTGAATCCTCCTCCTATTGCACAAGAAATAGATATACACGTTATCGATCTTGTAACTTTGAAGCAAGTTGGAAAAATGCTTAGAGCTCATAAAGCATTTACCCCAAACAATGAATGTTTTTTCATATTCCTAGATGTAAGCAACGAGTATATAGCTAGGTATGTATAAAATCTAAGAAAAAACCTTCATTACCAGTTATTCTGAAGCAACATAATAGAAAGTTTTTACCTAATGCCATATATTTGTGTGAGCCATAATAAAGTACACATTGTTTTATATAAAACCGCCTGTGATAAAAAGTGTACACCCTAGATTGGCGCCATTAAGTAAGACCTTTTACTTTATTTGAGTCGATTTTAAATCAAGAAATTTACAGGGACCAAAAAACACTTGCACCTATTTTATCAATTCTCGGTTCCATTTGTTACGCCCGTAATATTTGGTTGTCCATTTTCAAGACTCAATCATCATTTGATTTTGTGCCTGTGTACTGACGTTTCCTCTACTTTTCTTAGCTGGTTAAAAAATAATCGTTATCTGAAAAAATAATTTTTTTATGACATTTATTTTAGCGGTGCTGAAGATAAGCATGGTTATTTGTGGGACCGCCATTACGGAGCTTGTTTAGCGAAATTTCCACATACTGACGTTGTCAATTCAGTTGCCTTCAACCCAAAAGATCGTGATATGCTGGTGACTACGTCTGATGATAATACTATCAAAATTTGGAGGTCTATGGAAAAAATCAAATCGTTAGGATTAAATGCAGCGGATTTTCCAAAAGGAATCGAGTTGAGGAAAGGTGGAGACAAAACACAAAACAAGAGATTTCAACGTTAACGTCAATTTTTAAGTAGGTATATATTGCCTAAATATACAGGGTGACTTTGAAGTTGATTCATTAATTTTCAGATAATGATTGTAGAAGGAAGATAAACCAAAATATGTGTGTAAAAATAAAAAAAAATGTTACCTTGTTTTATAAAGTATCCTCCCGATAAGTATTTCAGTGCGGACCTGTATTTGATCGTGCGGTCTTGGAGCACCGGCATGCCCTCCCCTGTGAGGTCTTAAGTCACCTTTTTCACGAGCCCTTTGTACTACATTAACAAAGGCACGAGGGGTCGGTTGCACTCGATTGGGAAACCGATCCGCATAAATCCGTGATGCCGCGGCAGCATTTTGTAAAGACTCCCCCCCGTAAATACGAATCATGTCCACAAGTTCAGCATTTTCGTAAACATGTGCCATTTTTTATTTCGTTTGAGCCACGCAACAAACACCACTATTCACTCACGCGTTACCGACTGACACATTGACTGAATACAACTGAATAAAATTGTAGTAAAAACATCGTGATAAGCGTTTCAAATTCTTTCGCTTTTTTGTTTCCGATGCGATGAACCGATAAGGCGGATTATATCCGTTGTCGCCAAACACGAGCACATAATATTATTATTGAGACAGGGCGGTACTCAATCTTCTAAAGGGCTTATAACTTTGTTACTTTAATTTTACCAGAAAAATGTTAAAGGAAAAAAACATTTCTTTTGATCAGATCTACTCACTGTTAAAATAAATGACTCAACTTCGAAGTCACCCTGTATAGATGATCGTCTTATTTCTTTTGTTCATCTTTTTTTCCACAGATTATAAAAGCCGTCTAACACAGGTTACTCAATTTGAATAAAAATTGTTGAATCCATCTTGAATCAAATATGATAACATTTATTCATAATGTGCAATTTTGTCAATAAAGTTTAATGCAAGTATGCAGATTCAGGAGTAGTAGGAACATTGGTAGAAAAGTGGTGCCGTCAACCTTTCGAGAAGCAGATGTTTTGCTTAGCGATGAATAGTCTCGACAAGGTGGTCGGTCGCTCCAGCCGAGGAGATCTACACAGTTTTTACTGTTACTACAAATAGCTACTCACAGCAGTTACAGCTATCTGCCCGCCCCGAGAACGAAATATTGCCGAAGAAACTGATTTGTCTGAGAATTGATTCTACTACCCATGCGTTTGTATACTCCATGCTTGAGTCACCATGATGCGATTATTATTGAATTCGCCTATATTTATTTTGTGAATTTATTTATTTAGTGAGTGTAAAGATTATCTAAGTCGAAACACATCCTTTCGTGATTCTCTTTTAACTTAAATAGTTATGTTATTTTTATTGCAAGTTTTCTTTTACAATATATACTTTAATTTTTATGATGAAATTTTTATTGTCCCAAAATCTTCGTCCATTTCCGTCAATGATGGTTCGTATAACGTACAAGCATATCTGCCACAACCGCATTCAAGGGCTAGCTAAGTCTAAAACTGAACACCTTGCGTAAAAAATAAATATGAGTGAAAATAAAATAGGTTAAAAAATTATTTGGTAACCGTGTAGCCGATGTCCGGTGGATTAAAGGGTATAGGCTGGTCAAATTTCCCTTCGCCAGTATACTTATCACACACCTCCATAAAGTCGTTGTTGTTAGGTGGATTAAAGGATATAGTCTGATGGAATTAACTTCACAAGTTTATTAGGTAAATCCTCAAATGGGGGTTATTGACATCGCCGGGTGGATTAAAGGATAAAGCGTGGTGAAATTAACTACGCAACTTCATTTGGCACGTTAATCACTCGGCTTCAGAGGTAGTTCTTCTCGGCGATTTCAATGCCCGTGATGAGCTCTGGTCAGGCTCAAACAAGACCGATGCAGCAGGTCGTGCTGACGAAGCGTTCGCTATTACACAAGGACTGACCCAGCTGGTGACGTCATACGCTGTAGCATGCTGGATGTTTGTTTCGCTGACGTGGATGCGTCGACTGTCTATTATCAACGTTGGGATGGAGGAACACATCCATCATATAGTGAAAGTGCATAAGCCAGATTCCAACACTGCTTGAAAGCAGAAGATGAAGCCACACAGAATCTTCTTACAAAACGGCATTTCTGGACACTGGCCAAGCTGAATCAAAGGAGCCTCTCACAAAATAGCCTTCCAGTACTTACCTGCCATGTCAAGATTTTTGCTGCCAACTCCGCCATGAACGTCCCAGTCCAACGCCCGAGTGCCGTCGATTCAAAGGGTTTCCTACACTATGCGGGAAGTAACATTCAGGTACAAGACCGGGTGCTCTTGTCGCTCGACATCCACAAAGTTTCTGGTGCGGTCCTTGCTGTTGTATTGAAGAGGTTTGCAGCGGGTTTGCACCAGTTCTTTCGCATCTCTTCCAGATATCTTGCGAATGCGGCACCTTCCCCGAAAACTGGAAATTTGCTCAACCCATCCCAAAAAAAGAGATCTAAGACCGACCCTTACAACTATACTAAAATTCAGCCCAAGTGAGACCACAACATCGCAAACTCGAAGCGTGATCAGCGCGTGATCGATGTTCCCGCAGAGGGTCTCATTATAGTTCAGGATTTTTACGGTTTGAAGTTGTAGTTTGAAGCGCTTGCTTTTTCAACTAATAGTTTCATTTCGTAGCTTTTATTTTTCTTTTTTTAAACTTTCCGCCCCTCATATTGATGCTTTTGTTAAATACAATGTCCTGAAGTGGCTCCAATATAAAACTCCATGAATTTGGAAAACATGCAGTTTCGAACATTTTTTAAGACCTAGTTAGACTGTAGCAATAAAAAACCCGCCGTTGCGCCGCGTTGATGTCTACAAAAACCAGAGTTGTAATCAGGCCGTGACGTGGCGTCGAGTGCATCGCTGTTATAAGTTCTGTTATATCTGGTGTTTTTTGACCATGTCTTCTACCGACACAGTTGATGGAGGGAGAACTACATTGAGTCCACCCAGGAAACGATCAAGACAAAACCATTTGAGCATCGAAGTGAAAGAAATTATTTTAAATGTTTACAAATGTGAAACGGAGGAAAAACCTGAGCTCAGCGTCAACGATGTTGTGCAGAGGGTGGCGAATAAAGTTGGAGTTTCTCGTGCATCGGTATTTAGAGTACTCAAAGAATATAAATTACGGAATGCATTTGCTGAACCTAAAACGAATCAGAACCGTAAAAGCCAAATTAAAGAAATAGATGATGCTGACAGACATGCGATCAGAAGGAAGGTTCATGAATTCTTTTTCCAGAATGATATTCCTACAATTGATAAGATTTTGAAAGTAGTGAATGAAGACTCAGATTTGCCGAATTTTAGTAAAACGACGTTCTACAGGCTATTAAAGGAACTCAACTTCAATTGGCAGAAGAGAGGCCGAAACAGTTCATTGATGGATAGAGATGAAATTATACTATGGAGGAGAGAGCATTTGACAAAAATAAAAACATACAGGAACCAAAACCGTAGAATTTACTTCCTGGACGAGACGTGGATAAATGCTGGCCATACAAAATCAAAAGTTTGGGTGGACCAAACAGTAACGTCAGCAAGAAGAGCGTTTTTAGATGGGCTTTCAACTGGGCTTAAAAACCCTACAGGTAATGCAGACATTCCATTTTAGAAAATCCAACAATAGTTATTAGATAATTTTTCATAGCCAAAGTGGTTTAAATGAGGCATTACACGTTATCAGATATCTAGAAAAAACGAGGATGTTCACTCTGGAAATCAATGTATTCTACGTTGGAATTCTTATGATATCGATGACAAGATTTTTTACAGCAATGCGAGCGTTGCAGAGACAACATACCTCGTCCGTCACGGAATGTAACGCGTTAATTAACAACGTCAGACATTGCGTTGATTTGTAAATTTTTCGATAAGTTTGTCACACTTGATAATTTTTTAGTTTAATTGATGTTGCCTGTTTCTTTTTGTTTTTTAAGCTAACCAGATTCATCAACAGATTAAATGATGCATTGGTTGAAGTGTCCGATATATCTCACCGCATGCATCCCGCTATCATGAGAAAAAATATAGCATCGTATATAAAATACAGAAATGTGTCCCTATCTCCGTGGCCTCAGTACTCTTGTGAAAGACATATAATGTACATCCGTATTTAACAAGTTTTATCTTTATAGGCAAAGGAAAAAAGCTCATTATTTGCCACATCGGGAGTGTAGATGGCTTCGTGAAGGAAGGACTATGGTGTATTGAATCAAAAAAAATCACTGACTACCACGAAAAGATGAATGGTGAAGCATTCGAAAACTGGTTTTTAGGCATTTTACCACGTCTTAAAGACAATTCTGTCGTGGTCCTGGATAATGCTCCGTATCATTCTCGGAAATTAGAAAAAAATCCAAATTCATCTTTTAAGAAATCAGAGATACATCTATGATGACAGCTCTTCTAGTGAAAGTGAAAAATATTGATGTTGTCAAACACATATGTATAATTACTTTCTGTGCCCCCCTTAATTTTCAATCACCTCTATTGACTCTGTGACAGTAGTGTTGTGTTATTATTTAATGATGTCTCTTTTTCAAATATTTAGTTCTGAAATATCACCTTAATATTTCCATAGTTTTGAGTCCGACCCTGCTCGGTTCTTGTGTCTACGACCATCATGCCAGCGACGCGTGCTGGTTGTTGTGTCTGGTCTCACTTGAAATGGATTCAAGTATAGAGGCATATAGCTCTGCCTTCTGTTATAGGCAAGGTGATGGACAGGTGCATAAATCGCGAGCTTCTGGAGTACCTCAATCGTTACGGCTTGATTAGTGACAGGCAGTCTGGTTTCCATCCAGTCTATGATGGGGCTTATGTCGTCGCTCTTGATATCATGAAAACATTCGATCAGCTGTGGCATGCTGCCCTCGTATGCAAACTTCAATCTTACGGCCTCCCAGAGAAGCTTTGCAAATGGGTGGCTGACTTTCTCTCTGGCTGCAAGATATCCGTCGTAATTGACGGGTTCTCCTCTTCATCCCTCAACGTCAACGCGGATGTTTTTTTATACCGAAGCAGCCGCGCAGGCAGGAGCCATAGGGATCGGTTTTGGCTCCGACACTGTTCCCCTTACATATCAATTTCCTTTCCTGAACGTTTTAATCAAATCCATAGCTTTGCTGATGACAGCACTGTACTTGCAGGAACTCACGAGCGACAAGCCGATCTCTAATTGTGAGCTGGAGAATAAAAGAGCAACAAACGACTTCCTCACTGACGAGAGACCTTGGAGAGGCAACAATCTTGTACAGTTTAGGCCCGTATCGTCAGTCGTCCCTACAATTGTAGGGCGCCTTTATGGCCTCCTTGATTGTCATATTTTTCTACTTCTCCGTGTCAGAACTCTATTTTGAGGTTATGTCACAAACATCTATTTACATCAAATTGTGCTTGCTTTTGAGTTATATCATGTTTTATCAGCCTGAAATTTCCTACAATTTAAAAAGAAAACATATCTTCACAATAGGAGAGCGCTGACGCTGACACGGGACAAGTGTAATCTAGAAATTTTTACAGTAGAGAAAGGAGTATGACAATCAAGGAGGCCATAAACGCGCCCTACAATTGTAGGGACGACTGACTATACGGGCCTTAATAAAACACGGTACTGTACCTTGACGAACAAAAAGCGTCCTAGCGCGCATCCGGTTTCGCTGGATGGCCGAGTTCTGCCAATGAGCCGTTCATTTAAACTGGTCGGAGTCCCGATCACCGAGGACTTGACCTGGTACGAAAACATCCCGGCAATTGCGATAGCTGCTGGGAAAAAGCTAGGATGTCTGTTTAGGGCTAAGATGTACTTAGTACCTCATGATGCCGCTGCGCGATGTGCCTGTCGGACAGACCTGCCTGACTTCCGCCTCCCATTATAACCATGTCGAACTTCGTACATCCAGAACTGGCCGATACGACCGCTCCGTTGTCACTAGGGTGTCGAGATTGTGGAGCAATTTACAAGAGGACGCTTTTCCCAGTTCTACTAATCTAAGGCAATTCAATAATCGGATTAATAAAGTTTCTCTGGCATCTCATAGCAGCCGCGGTGCGCTAGCATTTACGCTTCTGCCTGCGCGGTTGCTTCGGTGTAAAAAATGTGAGTCACGTTCTGGTAGATTACCGGATATAGTCTGGTGAAATTACTCCGCAAGTTTAGCTTATACAGCAAACACCTCGAACTGGGGTAGTCAATGTCGTAGGGTGGAGCAATGCAAATGTCACACAATCAGTATTTACTGTAGTCCATACCATTAGTATTTAGTGACCATTCTGTCAGTGCCAGCGGATTTTTACGTAACCTTATTAAATATACTAAGTGACATATAAATCCGAACACCCAGTTTATATGGTTTTATTTTAATAAAAGCTGGTGAATGTATTTATCTTACTGTAAATAACAAGTGAAAAAATTTTCAGCCTTATCAGTTGGACATTCCGGTTTTTATACTGCTTTTTTTAATTCACTAACGCTCTAAAAATGAATATTTCAGCCGCAGTAAAGAATCAACGTTGGCGGATTTTGGTTCTTGACATCCTTTACGATCGGTTACGATGCCTAGAGTACGGAGACCTGTACGATTTCGTCAACTTAGTGAGTTTGATAGGGGTATAGTGGGACTTCGGGAAGCTGGACTTTCTTTTCGGGCAATTGCAGTTAGAGTGCAAAGAAGTGTAGACACTGTGGTTAGGTGTTGTCAGGCATGGCTTCGAGAAGGCCGAACGCAAAGAGCGAGGGGCACTGGACGCCGCCGTAGAACAACAGACCGTGAAGATCGCCGCCTAAGATTATTGGCCTTAAGGGACCGTTTCTCCACTACCAGGTCCATTGCAAATGAATGGTTTGCAGAACACGGAAGACTTATTGGCATGCGAAGTGTTTACCGACGAATGAGAAGTTTTGGCTTGTTTACATACCGGCCACACTGGGTCCTCCCTTTAACTCGAGAACACCGACGTAATCGCCTTGAGTGGTGCAGACAACGGTCATTCTGGGATCAGGAATGGAACAGTATTGTCTTTAGTGACGAGTTTCGATTTTGTTTAGGCATGCACGATGGTCGTGCCAGGGTTAGAAGGCGACGTGGTGAAAGGAGGAATCCACAGTTTTTTGTTGAAAGACATGTTCATCACACTGTTGGATTTATCGTTTAGGGTGCTATAGCTTATGGTTCCAGATCACCTTTAATCTTCATCAGAGGTAACATGACGCGCAGCGTTATATCCACGAAGTTCTAGAACCCCATCTTTTACCCTATCTTGACACCCTGGCAGATCCAACTTTCCAACAAGATAATGCCCGACCACATGTTGCAAGAGTCACAATAGACTTCTTTTAACATAATGATGTCACATTGTTACCATGGCCACCAAGATCTCCCGACTTATCCCCAATTGAGCACGTGTGGGATATGATAGGTAGGAGATTGCTCAATTTGCAACGTCCTCCTCAGACTCTAGAAGCACTTCGAGAGGAGTTGGTGGTTGCCTGGAATGAGATACCACAGGAGGACATTGACCACCTGATCAGAAGCATGCCTAGGCGCGTTGGAGAATGCGTAGCACATCAGGATGCATCCACACATCATTAAAGGTCAAAGGGCTTTAAAAGCAGTGCAATCATTTTGAAATTTTTATCATTTACTTATTACGCTTCATTAAGTACTTATACAAAATTTTAATAAAATAAAACCATTTAAACTGGCTGTTCGGATTTATATGTCACTTAGTATAATTACTGACATTCTGGCCACACGGTTAATAAATCTTGATGATTCCCTTTAAAAAAGTACTGATCGTGTGACATTCGCCCTAAGGATGAAGGGGATCTCCTCGTGACAACTGATGTGTGTGAGGGGGTTTGGAGCATCATGATTCTCAAAACACAAATTCTTTATGCATGGCCTCCTTAACCACGGCCGGAGGGTGCTGAGTTGCGACTTTTTCGCATGAAATACATTATTTTTTACAGGATAGAGAAAAATGAAATGAATTTATATAGGGTGTTCAATCCGTTCCTTCTTTTTTTAATCTAAAAAAACACACTTTTAATGAGTGTGAAACCGAACTCTTTATTGAAAATTGTAGGTCGGTCGTTGCCATTCATGTATGGATTATAACATCGCACATAATTATGTCCACCGCGGCTCCGTTGACGTGCCATCATCTGAACATCAAAATTTTCGCAGTATTAGCGGGTCCACGCAATTTCGATGCAAACGTTGCGTTTAAGGTCTTGAATCGTCCGTGGGCAGTCGCGTAGACTTTACTTTTCAAAAATCCCCAGAGAAAATAGTCCAGTGGCGTTATGTCGCACGTTCTTGGGGGCCAATTCACGTTGGAATTTCTTGAAATAATGCGATCTGGAATTTTTCCGCCAATAACTGGATTGTTTGTCGAGCTGTGTTCGAAGTTGCACCGTCTTGCTGGAACCAAAGGTCGTAGGCATCACTACCAATTTCGACCGAAAAAAAATCCGTTATCATACTACGATGACGATCGGCGGTGACCGTAACGGCTGTTTCTTCTTCATCCTCGAAAAAGAACGGTCCAATGATGCCACCAGCCCATAATCCGCACCAAACGGTTACTTTTTGATCATGAAGAGGTTGATCATGGATGTGGATTTTCAAAACACCAAATCCTACGGTTTTGCTTATTTACGTGGCTACTGAGGTAAAAATGTGCCTCGTCAGAAAAGATGGTTTTAGCAGAAAATCCCTCTCCTTTTTCAAGCATCCAATTGACAAAAATACGCCGTTACTGATGGTCCGCTGGCTTCAATTGTTGAGTTAGTTGGATCTTGTATGGGTGGAGGTGGAGATCAACATGCAAAATCCTCCATAATGTTGGCCTGATGTCCAATTCTTGCGAACGGTGTCTTATCGAAGTTGATGGCTGTTCATAAACACTTTCACTCACAGCGGCCACTGATTCATGTGTACGTACCGGACGGGCATGTTGATATGTTCTACGACCTTCAACTGAGCCAGTTTACTCAAAACGATTGATAATCCATCGAATTCCACGCTGTGTGGGACGATTATGTCGGCCAAATTCATCAAGTTTGCGAAAAGTACTTTTTAAAGATCGTCCGTTTTCGTAATATTTTTGGACGACCAAAATGCGTTCTTGCGTTGTTAAAGAATCCATAATAACAAATGGCAGACCTTTGACAGTTCATATGTGCTAAACACATGGCAGTTGACACATTTAACATGTCAAAAAATGGTAGTTGTAAAAAGAAGCAATAGATGGAACACACTTTATATGACCGACTGGTAAAGCGTACATAATGTGTATATCAAGTGCCTTTGTTCAGCTATCGTGCTTCATCACAGTCCTAGTCAGTAAAGTAGTTTTTGCGCCCGCGGTTTTTAATACTACTTAGGCTCATCGACCACGAGAACTGTCCATATTTTTTTGTTGCGAAGTAATTTGAGAAACCCTCTATCCTTGGATAACATATTCATGACTGTAATATTTTGTGGGATGGGCGTTCCAAGCACATAAAGACAAATTAAATAATGACAGTTCAATTTTTTCATTCACCTATATACAATTCTTCAATAAAATATTATCTAGGCACATTATAAAAAATATAAATTATATATAACAACTGATTCCACGATAAACTTAATCAACAAAATAATGTACATAAAAAAAGTGGAAACAACGAAGTAACAACACAAAAATAATGAAAATGCATGAAAACTAGTTTCAATAGAGGTCCAAATTTCATTAGTATAACATCTGCTATATTATAAACAGCCCTTAGTTCCATTTCTTTTATCTGTTACTGGAGTGGTGCAATACTGACAATCCACAGCAATTTTTTTATAAACAATTCTGTTCTTTTTTATTTCACTGTGATACCCTGAATACATTGTGAATTTTAGATCAGGTTCATTATACAAAGCATAGTATAGTTCCTCAAATAAATAGTAAACAAAAACCTAGATATAATTGCGAGGACTGTGTAATATTATGCCTCACCAGTAACAGAGAATACATTTAAAGACAATCTTTTACATAACGTATATGCTTACTTCATAAGAGCATGAACGACCGCTTTGGCATTCAAAGCCTTTAAGTCAGTGTATGTTTGACCTGTACCGACAAAAACAATCGGTTGACCAGTGATGTACGTCATTGATATAGCTGCTCCCACCTATAAAACAAACAAAATTCCTATTAACATTCAAAAGTTACCGTCACAGTCGTAAACAGTAGCAAAACAAATATTAAAAATAGTACAATGGAAACTGAATGGGTACTTGCTACACATAACAGAATTTCAATATGTATATGTACAAATTCCAAACATTTTGTCTTTTTTGACTATGCTAAAACAACTGGATTAAAGAAACCGATAATAAAACGTTATTTTAAAGACTGTACAAAAATTATTTATCCGTGACTATACAGATCCGTCGCTCAAAAAACAAGACTGAGCCACCGCAGATCTTTATAACGTCATGTTATAACCACATAGTATGCAACATTCCAATGAACCTGAAGCAAATTCGTCGCACTTTTGTAAAACAGACATAAAGCAACGAAAACATATCAATTTACAAGTTTTTGCGCTTACAATCGTGTGTCGTTAAATTTAGAAAAATGCTATCAAAGAAAATTAGTCTTACCTTATCGTCGATTGTGTCAAACTTGGTTAGTACAATACCGTCAATTAGGTGAGGGTTGACCTTGGAAGAATAATCAGCTAATGCTTGGTTGAACTTAACAAGTTGATCAACAGCCTCATTTCCGACCAGCGCCTCTCCAACAAAAAGGACAAGATCTGGCTCGTTTACCTTTATCAACTTCGTTAAGGCCCTCATCAGTGGCTCATTGTCCTGGAGCAATACAAAAAGCATAAATTCAAGATTTAAATGACTTCAAACAGCTGCCTTTCGAATAAAAAAATTACAATCAGTTTAGCCATTTAAAAGCTGTGATGCCACGGACAAATACACACGTAGACACGTTATAATGCCTTGGCTAACGTTTTATACCTGAGCACAGCCAACCTAACACAATATTCTGGCGTCCAAAAAATTATAGACATGAAATGAGATACCAGTTCGCTACAATTAATATTAATACTTTTAGAAAAAAGGTCCAGGGAATTATATTTCTTTTTGAAGAAACTGGGTTACGTGACCTACTTATGCAGTCGTCAATAATACAGCCATTTAACACATGCTACGTACTAACTAGTTTAAGACAGTCTGAAAGATAATTGTGTCTTCAGTTGGCCTGCTAACTTTATAAACAGTTCAGCGCATTTAAGTACAAAATATTTTTTCATAAACTTTAAGGTTCAACTGTGACCGTGTAAGAATTTCAGCTCTAAATTTGTATACACAAGAGTATGAAGAAATCTCGAAAAAAAATTGTTTTCTTCGCAATAAAATGTGATAGACTCATTCGCTTTGTTTTAAAATGTGTATAATAACGGATGTTTTTCGAATACTGTAGCGAATCTGTTCAATTACTCACAAATACGAACTGTTTGAATTTGTTTAGAAAAGCTCTCTATGAGCGCCCGCGCAAAGAGTTAGGAGGCAAATGGAGAAGTGGATTGCAAGACAACACTCTCAGAAATGCAGAAGTATCTCCAGACATCTCCGTCAGGCACGGAAACTCACTGTAGGACCCAATATGGACGTTTCTGCCTATCTCTGGATAGAGCCAACCTGAGGTTGCTGGTGGGATTGTTGTCTGGTCATAACACGTAAATGGGCCACCTGCACGTGATGGGAGTGGCTGAAGATCCCTTGTGCGAGTGCTGCGGGGTAGAGGAAGAGACCTCGGCGCACGTTCTGTGTTGCTATGAAGCTCTGAGCTACTATAGGCAGACTATACTGGGGTCCATTACTTTGAACCCTCAGGACTCAAGGCCATACTCAACTTCGCTAGAAAGGTGAGGCTTGAGGTCTAAGGAATGTAGAGGTGCATAAGCGCCCGTCTAAGCGGCCTATGCGCCGGCTCCTTATGGTGTGCCAGGACGCTTCTAATTTCACAATTCATTCAATCAAACCAGGTATCTCTCGCAATACTCTGCAGTGGTCGACTAATTTTAGCTTTGCCACAGGAAAAGCAAAGGGCCCGATATGCTTCCTTGTGGAATATCAGCAAAAATTATCTTGACCACAACAGCACAAAAAAAAAACAAAGAAACGAAAAAATATTGATCATTGCCATATGACAATATGAGATATCATCCAATATCTGTATCCGAAATCAACAGATACGCGTTCAAATAGCATTTAGCGGTTATTAAAGATTTTGAATATCGTGGATACACTCGTACATACCTGCATCCTTCCAGCTGTATCAACCAAAACGACGTCGAATTTTGAATCTCGAGCGAACCTTATGGCTTCCATAGCTATTCCAGCAGCGTCTTTTCCATATCTTAAAAAGAAAGAGTTAGTTATTTTCCGTGCTAATCTATGAATGGGTGGTTGGGGCCTAATATCCCAGAGTCTGGAAAATGACAAAAAGACCCCTTCACCACGACCTCAACGAAACTGAAAAGCGAATCACGTAAAATACGTAACGTTCTAGAAGAAGAAATCATGAGTGGCCTTGAAGAAGATATGTTTTATAGGAAGCCAACTAACGGAGAAAAACTGTTTTTTTGCTGAGAAAGAAAGATATAGATATAATACGAGTGAAATTACACAATCAATAAACTATTAAATTTGCAAAAAGAAAACCATTCAAAGGGGGTTTGTCCTAGGAATGGACACTCTATTATCAATGAAGAGAAATTCAAATTACTGATAAGTGATAAATAGAAAAAAAAGGTTACGTGATTTTGGCACGTGACAACTTACGTAGAGACACACACACACGGAGAGAGAGAGAGAGAGAAAAGCTACTTCTTATCATAGACATATGGTCAATAATGGCGATTTCTCGGGTTAGCAGTGCAAAAAAATATATTTTCTTACCCTTTTTCATATAGCTGAACCATTTGTCTGCCTCCATGTTTTTCAGGGGGATGTAAAGCATTAAGATGACGCATATGCGTCCTAAGTTGTTCAACAGCACCAGCTCTGAACGTATCACATGCAGCTATCAATACTCTTAGGTTATTTTCAATTAGCCAAAAACAAATTTTTGCCAAGTTGGTGGATTTACCAACACCATTCACCTAAAAATAAAAAAAAATGTTAAATCTTAAGCAAAGGATTTTCCAATGGAAAAAAAAACAAGTTGTGTGTGAAATATTAACCAAGTTCTTTATTTTCAATGTTGTGTATGTGAATTTATATGGAATATAACATACATACATAGGTATAATAAATATACCGACACCCCGAAAACTTCACAACCACGCATTAAAAAACAACACAATTTTAAGAAAGTATTTATTAGGTACTTCTAATGTGACCTAGATAATGACCTTAGAGGTTATTTGGAGGTCAACCACGTAAATTCAAATAGCAATCATGGAACAATCTACAAGAGGACAGACCTGCCTGACTTCCGCCTCCCATTATAACCATGTCGAACTTCGTACATCCAGAACTGGCCGATACGACCGCTCCTTTGCCACTACGGTGTCGAGATTTACAAGATGACGCTTTTCCCAGTTCTACTAACCTTAGGCAGTTCAAAAATCGGATTAACAAAATTTCTTTAGGATCATCATAGCAGCCACGGTGTCCCTGCAATTAGGCTTCTGCCTGCGCGGCTGCTTCAGTATAAAAAAAAAACATTTCTGATAGCAGATTTGTAAACAGCTTGAGATTCTACAAAAGAATTAATCTTCGTTCAGGAGGTTATGCTGCCAAAAAGTAGCTAGCTGTACATTCTGAAAAGTAACTGAAAGATTTCAAAAAAGTTTGAGTGGACCAAATATTGATTTTATTTATGAGACCTAACATGAAATAGATTTTTTTGAAAATCGAAGCAGCCGCGCAGGCAGAAGCCTAAATGCCGGAACACCGCGGCTCCGATGATGATCCCAAAGAAATTTTGTTAATAATGTCTAAGGTTAGTAGATCTGGGAGAAGCCTCCTCTTGTAGATTGTTCCACAATCTCGACACCCTCGGGACAAAAGACCAGTCGTATCGGCCAGTTCTGGATGTACGAAGTTCGACACGGTTAGGTTGTGACGCCAAAGTCAGCCGGGTCTGTCTGGCAGGCACATCGCGCGGCGGCATCATGATAGAAAATCTAAGGAGCAAAGCCCGTTGGTGTAGCGGTAGAAAAGAGCTAGATCGTCGACGGCTCGCCGGTGCGAAAGAGTTCCGAAGCTGTCTGTTAGAAAAGAGTCATCGATCAGTCGGACCGCCCTCCTCTGGACAGCATCAAGCATAAATAATGTAGTCGGGGCCGCAGCACCCCAAACGTGTGAGCAATACTCGAGGCTAGGCCTTATCTGGGTCATGCGGAGAAAAGTACTTCTTAGCCCTAAACAAATAACCTAGCTTTTTCCCAGCAGCTGCCGCTATGGACGAGATGTGTTCGTGCCAGATCAGGTCTTCGGTTATCTGGACTCCCACCAGCCGAAATGAATGTCTCTTTGGCAGAACTCGGCCATCCATCGAAACCGGATGAGCGCTACGACACTTTTTGTTCGTCAAATTACAGTACTGTGTTTTGGAAGCATTAAACTGTACAAGATTGTTGCGTCCCCAAGCAGTGATAGCCTCCAGGTCTCTTGTCAGAGAGGAAGTCGTCGCTAGTCTTCTTTTTTCCAGCTCAGCGGCAGAGATCGGCTTGTCACTCTGAATTCCTGAATGTAGAGTGCTGTCATCAGCGAAGCTGTGGATTGAGTTGATCGTGCAGGAAAGGAGGTCGTTGATATGTGAGAGGAACAGTGTCGGAGCCAAGACCGATCCCTGGTGAATACCCGTTGACGTTGTGGGATGAAGAGGAGAACCCGTCAATTACGACGGATATCTTGTGGGCTGAGATAAAGTCAGCCACCCATCTGCAAAGCTTTTCTGGGAGGCCATAGAATGGAAGTTTGCTTAAGAGGGCAGCGTGCCACAGCTATTCGAACGCTTTCGTGATAGCAAGAGCAACGACATGAGCCTCACCATAAGACTGGATGAGTTTACTCCACAATTGCGTGATGTAAGCTAGGTGGTCCCCTGTGGATCGTTGGTGCCGGAAAGCATACTGCCTGTCGCTAATCAAGCTGTGACGTTCGAGGTAGTCCAGAAGCTCGCGATTTATGCACCTCTCCACCACCTTACTTATAACAGAAAGCAGAGCTATAGGCCTATAGTTGTAAGGGTCGGTCTTAGATCCTTTTTTTAGGATGGGTTGGAAATGAGCAAATTTCCAGTTTTCTGAGAAGGTGCCGGATTCATAAGATATCTGGAAGAAACGCGAAAGAACTGGAGCAAGCTCCGCTGCACACCTCTTCAGTACAATGGCAGGAATCAAGTCCGGACCAGAAGCTTTGTTGATGTCGAGTGGCAAGAGCACTTGTCTAACGGTCTTATGCCTGAATGTTACCTCCCGCATAGTGTAGGGAACCCAGTGAATTGACGGCACTTGGGCGTTGGGGGGGCGTCCATGGTGGAGTTGGCAGCAAAGATCTTGGCAAGCACTGGCCTTTGAGCCGGATACAATCGTTCCATCCTGACACGTAAGTGGTGGGAGGTTACTGTGGGAGAAGTTCTTTTCAATCTGCTTGGCCAGCGTCCAGAAAGACGGACTGTCATTGCTGCGACATTACCCTGTGCCTAACTTTTATATTGTGCTGGTTTTTGGCATTACGAACCGCTTCGTTATATTTCTTTCTGGACTCGACGTCGGCTTGTCTGTTCTCTGCAGTGGGGTTTTGTAAGAAGGTTCTGTGTGCCTTGATCTTCTGCCTGCGAGGAGTGTCACACGATTTGTTAAACCAACCGTTGGTCCCTGGTTTAGGCACTTTCACTGTGACAGTGATGTATTCCTCCATTCCAACGTGGATAATTTCGCTTAACGAAGAGCAGACAGCCGACGCATGCGCGTCAGTGAAACAGACATCTCTCCAAGGAAAGGTAGAGAAGAAGTCTCTGAGCCCCTCTCAGTCGGCAGGTCCGTAATGCCAAGTTTTGCGGCCTGTACGAGTTTCTGCTGCCACAGCGGGTTCTGACCGGAACCTAACCTCCACAACAGCGTGATCTGAGTTACCCAGGGGGGACAGGACAGTAGTGCTGTAAGGGACAGGATGCGTGGTCAGAAAGAGATCCAGCAGTCAACTGGCATGTGACGAGATGCGGGGAAAAAAGTAGGGCTCGTCACCAGCTGCGTCAGCCCTTGAGTAAGAGCGTACGCTTCGACTGCACGACCTGCAGCATCGGTCTTGTTTGAAGAACTATCTCTGAAGCGGGATGATTGATGTTCAGGAAGTCGATCTTGACGGCAAGGTATTATTCAAGTAGGTCATTCCAGTTATGGTCTGAGGGACAGCGATAAAGGCAGCAACTAAATTTGGGTGATGTAGTTGGAGTTGAGGCGAAGCCATTTTTCATTCAGATTAATAATATGCTCGAGATTCTACATACGAATCCACAATTATTTTGGTAGGTCAAATACACCTACGTTGCGAAAATTTGACAGCAACCCATTTTTTTTTGTTTTGATAAAGGGTTTATACAGAGCTTCCGGAAATAAAAAATATTTACTGATGATTCGGCCAGTCTCCGAATATTTCCACGTAATATAATAAAATGACCTAATTTGATATTCAAGTCGTGTGATAAATGTCAAAAGAGTTAATGGTGACGTTTAGGGATGTGATATTTGTGATAGCCAAAACTCTCTAACTGATGTATAAGGTTACATAGAGAACTACTGACACTGAGGGAATGTACAAAAATTAACCTGCTAATTTCACAATTTATGGTCGCCTGGCCTAGTGTATGTACATTGATCCCTACGCAGCATATTGAGCTGATTACCATTACCTTTAAATGATATTTGCAGCCATTATCTAGGTCGTGTTAGAGGTTACCAACAAATTGCTTTCTTGATCTCAGGAAACTTTCGTACATTTATTTTTTTGAAAAGAAAGTGTGGTTGCAAGTTTTCACAGTGTTCGTGTACTTTAAACATGTTAAAGCTTGACCTACTAATGTGCCACTTATGACCGCATGACGTCAAATATGCAAATTGATTTCCGTATAGAGTTTCGAGCCATCACGATTCTGTTGCCAGAAATGATAATTATATTAAATAATTCAATTTACGAAGTTGACCTCCAAATGACTAAATACTATAATGGGGACAAATCAATGCGCTCATGCAGAATATCCATGACAAAAAACAATATTTAAGGCATTTCTATGACCTTCAGTACACTGTTTTTTTTTATTGCCGATTTCAAATGCGGGGTTTGTTTGTGCCGTTAAGGGACATGAAGGACACTTCAAGGTCATATCAAGAACATTTTGAGAAGAATCCGAGCAATTGTGTCCAACTACATGTTATGTAGTTACTAAGTCCGTATCATAGGTCAATGAGTCACTACGAGGGCATTTGAAGATCATTTCAAGGTCACTTCAAGACCAAATTCGAAATAAATCTAGCATTCGAGCCCACACGCGTATCATATAGGTGCTTGCGGTCATTATCTCTAGGGAGAATCTAAAAGTCATTCAAATCCACTCAAAGGACAAATTCAAAATTGTTAACTAGAACACCAGAAGGCTGGCAAAAATACAATGTCTTTCAAATCTGGGGTTAACTTGTCTCTATGACGGCATTTGAAGGTCGCTTGAAAGTCATTTCAAGGTCATATCAAAGAGATTTTCAAAAGAAGCTGAATAGTTATGATAAACCGCATATCATTTAGATTTTCTGGTTGCTAAGTCCGAATCAGAGGTCAGTTAATCACTATGAGATCATCTTAAGATCTTTTCAGGGTCACTTCAAGGACTAATTCAAAAGAAGTCTAGCATTCGAGTCCAGTCTCGTGTCACATAAGTTTTTGCGGCCGTCGAGTCAAAATCAGAGATTAGTTTGTCTCTAGGAAGGCATTTGAAGGGTATTTAAAAGCCACTTCAAGGATACATTCAAAAAAGTTAAATAACTGTAACCGACCACCGCCATAATATGGCAATATAATATTACATTTCTTAATAGTTTGTAAAAGCAAGAAAACTGACTCTAGATTTTATATAACAATACTTCAAGTTCCTGAAACATCATTTATCATGACTTTAATTAATTGTAAACAAATTTGTATGCCACAAAATGAAAATATCCTTGTATGTGGATATCATGCTCATAACATACATATTAGTCTAATCATATTAGCAAATTTCCCCGAAATAATTGTAAAGTATGGTTTTATTGGTGCAAGTTGTTTAAGGAGGTATTTAAAATATGGACGTATAAAATGGGTACACCAATTTTTGACAACAAAGATTGAGTAAACATGTTTTTTGGGATTCAAGTGTTGACAGGAACAAAAAACTTTCCATATAAGATTTTTAGGTATTTATGAGACCTACAATAGCAAAAATGTTATGGTCGAAAAACGAGGCAAAATGCAGGTTTTGGCACTTGTTGGTAATGCGACGATAATTTCATGCAAGTACTTGAAATTCTTCAAATCTGTTGCATTCATACTTCTAAAGAACAACAACAAAATTTTAGTATATTGGTCAAGTAGTTTTTTAAGAATTTGTTTATTGTTTATCCAAAAACACATGTTTTCCGGCCATCACTACTCGTTTATTGAGTAATATGCAGGGTAGCCCATCCATGTGTGGACGGAATATTACTCATACATGACATTTGAGGGCACATTTCTAAAATATTGTCCCAATTTCGACCTACATATCAAAGTTGTGATTTTTCAAATGGAATGCCTCAAGTTTTATTGCATATTTGGATAAACCAATTCAAAAGAAGAAGATTGATATATCATACTATTGGGTTTTGGTAATTAGCTACTGAGATATAAGGTGTTTTGTCTAGAAAAACCCCCCATTTCGGCAACCACTCAGTCCGTCATTTTGAAATTTGGAGTGCTGAATTTTGTATCACACTTCAGCTTTTATCTTATTTGTTATTTTTTCGAATTTTATTTTTTGCTCATACAGGGTGGTCAAAACCGCAAATTGCAGTTTTGTATATTTGTGCAAGTTTGGATTCAATTTTCTATAAGCTTTTTTTGATACTAGACACATAAGGATTTTTACGGCTATTTTTTCGGTTATTAGCACGTATTTTATGGAACGGCTTGATTCCCTAAAATATCGCATCATCCTTGGAAACAAATAAATTGTTGATTAGTTACAAACTGTCAAAATTAGCTATGTGAGCATTATAATAAAAACGTGTTTGAAAATGAATTTTTCTAAAGAAGAAATGGTGAATATGGTGTTCGTTTTGGGCGAAGCCCAAAGAAATAGTTTCCTGGCATCTCGCATTTATAAGCAACGGTACCCTAATATGCGACATCCAAGGCCGGAAACATTTTCCACACTACGAGAACGTTTTGAATCAAGTGGAGCAGTGGAATATAGTAAAAAATGTATAAATAATCCAAGTGTCACCAATGAGGGAATCAGTTGGAGATTTTATTAGAGTTGCAGGAAAATCCCCATTCAAGTGCACGGCATATTGGAGCAGAAACTGTGTCCCCAGGATTTCGCAGCTCCGATGGAGTTTAGTAGAATAATGCTAAATAAAATGAGTGAAGACACTAGTTTTCTGGATAAGGTTCTTTTTAGCGATGAGGAACATTTTTAACAGCAGTGTTGTCAACAGGCATAACATGCACTAATATGCGACGGAAAACCCTTACTGGGTTAGGCAAATAGATTTCCAAAATAAATGGAGCTTGAATGTTTGGGAAGGAGTTATTGGCAGACCAGTTATCGGGCCTTTCTTTTACGACAACAGATTAATAGGTACAGAATACTTGAATTTTTTGATCGAGCATTTGCCTTTGCTTTTGGACGATGTCAACCTGCAGACTCGGATGCATATGTACTTCCAACATGACGGTGCACGTGCGCATTATAATCGTGTGCGTAACTATTTGGACACCTGAAGTAATAATCGTTGGATCGGTCGTGATGGGCCTATATCTTGGCCTCCTAGATCACCATATATGACACTGATGCACTTCTTTCTATGGGGCTACGTTAAGCAAGAGGTTTATAGATATCCACCATCTACCCCGGAAAATATGAAGGAAAGGATTAAGGATGCTTTTCTGAACATAAGGGAACACATGCTGAGGGATGTGCTACGGTCATTTATCCAAAGACTATGGCTGTTTATTCAACATGGTGGAGATATTTTCGAGCAGTTTTTGTAGATTAGGTCTTGAGTAGTGATATTTGTTTGTTTATGTTGTTGTTTTTTCTATTACGCTGATTTATACTGTTCTGATTGTTATTAGTTTTACGTCAAATCTGTACTGTTAGTGGCAATATGGAACTAGCCCACTGTTTGTCTTTTGTTTCCATTGATGATGTGATTTTTTTCCTTAATTTTGGTTTGTGTTCTATTAAAAGCTTAATAACTCAAAATCTAGTGATTTTATCTGAATCAAGCCTTATACCAAAAAAAGCTTATAAAAAATTGAATCCAAACTTGCCCAAATATACAGGGGATGCATTTGAAATCTTTGAGAAATAGTACAATTCGCGTTTTTGACCACTTTGAATGAGGAAAAATGAAAATTCGGAACAGTAAAAATAAGGTAAACGCTGAGGTGACTAAGTTTTTTTGGAAACAAAATTCAGCATTCCAATTTTCAAAATATTGAGGGGTTGCCGAAGTGGACGGTTTTTCTGGACAAAACACCTTACATCTCAGTAGCTAATTACCAAAACCCCATAGTAGGTCATATCAATCTTCTTCTTTTGAATTGGTTTATCCAAATATGCAATAAAATTTGAGGAATTCCGTTTAAAAAAATCACACCTTTGATACGTAGGTCAAAACTGGGGCACCCTATATAATTGCCAACATTTTTTAAATGTCATGTATAACATGCCATAAATAGATTTGCCCAAAATTTATTTGTTTATGAGTAATATTCCACCCACACATGGATGGGCCACCCTGTATAGGGTTCGTTTAAAGAGCATTTAATAGCAAAATACACGTGTTTATCTTGCCGATATGAATCACAACCAGTCCGAAAGATAAATGTTATTTTTATGCGAAAAACAAAGGTTACGTTTTTTTTTCTTTTAAACAAATTCAAACATTTCGATTTTTGTGAGTAATTCAAAAAATGCGCTAAGATATTCGAAAAACATACGTTACTATACATATTTTAAAACAAAGCGGATATCTATCGTCAGTTGTGAATTACTCACAAATACGAATTGTTCGAATTTGTTTAGAAGAAAAAACGTAACTCTCTTTTTTTTGCATAAAAATAACATTTATCTTCCGGAATGGTTTGCGATTCATATCGGCAAGATAAACTAATGTATTTTGCTATAAAATGCCCTTTGAACTAACACTGTATATTGCTCAATAAACTATAGTAGTGATGGCAGGAAAACAGGTGTTTTGGGATAAACAATTAGAAATTCTCAAAAACTACTCGACCAATCTACTCTAATTATGTCGTGGTTATTTAGAAATACGAATGGATTTGATTTGAAGAATTTCATGTATCTGCGAGAAACCATCGCATTACTAACAAGTGCCATAACCTGCAGTTTGTCTGGGTTTTCGGCCAACACTTTCGATTGAATCCCAAAAAACACGTTTTCTCATTCTTTGTTGTCGAATAAAAAGTTTTCCCACAATAATATTAAACGTTTTTAAAATATTCATATTATATACATATCAGTGGATCCTCTAAAATTTTTTTCATTAATATCTCACGCACAACTTGATGTTTTCCGTTTCAACAAGCCTTACACCACAAAATGTCATAACATATGGCCGCTGCTGCTTCTGCGCCTCCAGACAGTCCCTCAAAATATCAACCCTCCTTTTAGGACTTAGAATTTGCACTAGAGATTCTGTTAAAGTAGTTTTAACAGTTGATGCGACACTTTCGAAAGTACCCAGCACCTTGCCTTCAAGCTTGGCTGCTACCGATTCGCACAATTTGGCGGCTGAAAAAAAATACCATAATACCATTAGTAAGAAAAATCTGCATCACTTACATTACATACTCAGTGACATTAGAAGTGCTACACCCAGTAAAAATAATTTCTTCAACTTGATTTTTTGGCAACATTCTCCCGAAATTTTATTAAACAATAAGAAAAGAGTTAATAATGTGTTGGGCGACCCCGCAGCTGAATACACTCCTGTATACGTCTAGACATCGAGAAAATGAGATGATCGATGTCTGGTTGTGGTACCTGTTAAATTGCACTAAATCTAATCCTCTCTGAACTGCTGATGTCGTTGCTTAGGAAGCGCATAGATCTACTTGACGTCATTTGTTACTGATTACTATGTATAATACGAGGTCTGTATATTAAGTGATGAGTCTGTTTTTTTTAATTTGTCTATTCAAATATAATTACTATTTTATATTGTTACCCTCAAAATAACTTCCTTCTGAAGCCACTCAGCGCAGAAAGTTCTTCCACTCTCATAGCAGTGTTGGAACTCCGACACTGGAATAGCCTTCAGCTGGTCGGTTACAGCCGTTTGAATGTTTTCGACTGTCCCAAAATAAGGTCCTTGAGGTGATTTTTCAACTCCGGGAAGAGAAAAAAGTCACAAGGACTCAAGTCAGGTGAAGAAGGAGGCTGAAGAGCCACATGAATGTTTTTACTGACCAAAAACTCGTTTATTGACATTGCTGTATGAAAAGTAGCATTATCGTGACCCAGTTGACACCTAGTTGTTCTTGGCCCGATTAACGGTGATGTGAGTCAAATTCAAATTGTCTGTCAACCAACAATCTGAATGCACAATATCGCGGATTCTTTCGCTATTTTCATCGGTTCTTGAAGGCCTTCCTCTCTCCATTCTGAAAATGTCTTAAACCACCAAAAACCTGGACTCTTGACAAAATACCATCTCGTAGGGGTGTTTAGCAAGAGTTTCCGTTGCACTGTGACCAAGTCTGAAGCAAACCAGGATTGCACACCGTTGCTTGAAATTGATGTCACTCATTTTTAGAACTCATTAGAAACTGTGACACAAAAAAGATCGCTACGCACAACCGAAATTCCTACCCATAAGCGGAATTGTTGTCACCGAGTGACGTCATGCGTTCCGGCGTACGAAATTCAATCCCGAAGCGAGTCTATCTTTTCGAATTATAGTATCATGGCTCGGCCGTAAAGCGGCAGCCAAAGCAGTCAAATCGTCGAAGACTACATTGTAGTTGATTTTTTGTCACATGATATCGCTTGTTATTTGTTAAAACAATCCAGTCAGGCTTGACATTCTGATGAATCTTGATTAATTATACATACTCCAAAATTTACGTTTACTTCGTTCTGTTCTTAAATATGCAATAAAAAATTAAGATCACTCATTATAAAAATGTATAATCCGCTACTGGTCACTGTGCTACTGATTGACTTGATTTTTGTCGTTACCGATATACAGGAAATACATTACAAATCGGGCAGACACGTTTGCCCTTGCGTTGGCCGCATTATATCTAGGTATATCATAACAAGATGTACAGTGTAGAAACCTTATCATGAAACCGTTTTCAAAAAACAAGTTTTAAGATACTAGCTGCTTTTGAACTTCCGCAGAATGAGAACTATTCCATCGTCAGTTACGACAGTCGTGACATACGTGCTCAAAAATGTAGCTTGGTAGGAACAGTTGTTATTGTGAACTTATTAGAAATTGTTAGGTATTGCAAGTAATATGTTTCTCACCGGAAATGTTGCGGAAAGCAGATTAATGACTGCGACACCTTGCAGTATCTAGCAACAGATACTATTCAGAATAAAGTGTATTATCAACGTAATAAAGTATTTTACTGAGGGCCGACAAGCTCAAGCAAAAATATATCACAACAGGACAGAAATGCGTTTGTGGTAGTATCTGCGTAATAAGAGAATAAAACGGAAGTTTATGCCTACCCGTTGATCTGGGATCGACAACACTATTAAAATCTATGGAATGTCAAAGCGTCTTTGCTTGTTTTGCCTATTCCCTCTTCCTTCAAATCTAAATGAAGTTACGAAAATGCCTTTTGTAAAACATCATGTTTCATGATGAGCCGTGTTCACAGTCCCAAGATTTTACTAGGTTTCTATCTACTACAAGCAACTTCAGTTTCATCAAACAGGTTTCTTCAGTTTCACTAATTTGTTTTGAAGGTATTAAGTTTAATAACGTATGAAAATGCTAAAAACCTTGAATAGTGCTGTATGGAAACATGCCAACCCAATTTTCAAACAAAAGACTGACAGAATCATTAGGGCAGTTTGTATGCTATGCAAAAGAATACAAAAAAGAGATTACATAGATACAATTGATGCAAATATCTGGACACGCTGTATACACAGTTTTAACAAAATTTCGGGGTGTCAAACAGCCAATTTGTCCACGACTTCAAATATAACCAGATAATGACAAGAGATTATTTAGAGTCATGTTCGAAAATTTAACTAGCAACAACCATTTTTGACAGCAGAATCTCGTAGAGCTTGAAGCAGACTGCATTTTCATATATGAGATCAAGTGGTCGTACGTGACTCAATCAAACTAACAACTAGGAACCATGACTTTTTTTTTAAAAAATGATCCTTACAACAGCCTATATACTATATGTATTGTTTTTTCTCAATTCGATAATTTTGGCCTTTATTATCTTTGATTTATATTGGTGCGTCTGTGGCATATAAGCAGCCACATCTGACGATTCATACATATATTAATCAAATCAGGTTGATGCCCCCAATATGCCTCTATGCATATTGGTATCGGTCGATACCCACAGGGAAGACTTTTATAAATTCGCAGTATAGTGAGTACCTTTGTCATTAATACTGAAAGCTCTGTACCTATATCAGCTGCAACATTTTTAGCAATCAAGTGGTCCTTCATTTTCTCTAAAGCAGGCTCCATATCAGCCATAGTTAGGTTCTTGGATCCCACTAATCCCTTAAAAATAGAAAACATGCCTCCTCTTGATGGTTTTTGATTCTTTGTTTCTATTTCTACTTCTTCTTCCTCCTCAGATTCTTCATCTGAGGACTCAACTTCTAGGTCTTTAATAACACCCTTCATTTGTCCTATCATCTGGAAGAAAAACTCCGTTTCGAACAAACCATTGAATATATTTTTGACAAAATCATACTCTACATTCTCCCTGGCGTTCATCGATGAGAGCTTTGCCCTTCTACTATGACAAAGTGACAAAAAACGCACGCTGATTGCTCTCGGACCAAAGGTGGAATGCTTCCGCGCTGCCAGAATGTTAAATGTCATAATATAATAATGTGAATGCACGGAATATGATCAATTTTACAACTTTAATTATACGAAAAGGTAAGTTCCTGTAGTGCAGAAAAAATGTTTCCAATACAAGCATTAAGTACTTGCGACCTCTAGGAATATTGCCACGCGCTTTGCATCGAGGGAATAAAATGTTTTCCTGAGTGGCAAATTTTTGCCACTGCCTAACAAAATTCTATGTAATAAAGTAACGGCCACGGTTCACGAGATAATCAAAGACATATACCTCTGTATCTGGAGTAAAGTTATCTTTAGCATCTTCAGGCTTATCCAAAGTGCGTTCAAGGGTCTGCAAGTCTTTATTTGTGCCTCCCAAATCCCAGACCCTTGGTTTCTTTCCAGCTTTTTCAGGTGTATGGCTTGTGGGGCTTTTAGGGCTTTTCCTGTAAAAAAATTAAGATGATATAGTCATGTTCTAGAAAAGATTTTCAAACAGTTTGCAACCATCAAATTCAGTCGACCAAACGAATTGTCAAAAAAGTGTCACTGAACTTTAATTGTTTATCTGTTCCCAAATGCAGGGTTGAAAAAAAACAAGTTTAAAAAACTAAAATCATGTTTTTTTTCAAATTTAGCTAAAAAAACATGTTTAAAATACTGTTAATATAAGTTTAAAACAGTAAAAAAAATTAAAAAACTAATGCCTATAGAGGGTGTCCGCAAAGTTGGGGTTTTCCTTTACACGACGTGTAGATCTTGAAAACATAAGCAATTTTTCTTAGTACCATATACACCAATGTCTTAAGGGAGCCGAGATAAAGGGCTCTGCAACATCAAAAATATCTGAATACCGTCTTGTAGCCGCGACATCCCCGAGTGGTACTAGGACACTAGCTCAACCCGACGACAGAACTGGGTCGGGGTCAGTGTGTCAGGTAAGTATGCAACCTTCAACCGACGGTTACGGCCATGCGTGTAGAGGTAAACGAACCCGTATAATCGATTGCGTGTCAAAAAAAAAAATAATAATGGCATACTCATACACCAATAATGAACTCGTTGATATGTTGTTAATTTATGGCGAATGTCTTCAAAACCCTACAGAGGCGTCGTGAGTGTATGCAGATCGTTTCCCTAGACGACATCATCCAAGGCCCCGCAGATTTGTGTACCTGGTCCAGAGAGTCAGGGATACGGGCCATTTGGAGGAATTTCGAGGTGGGCACGAATGGTGCAAGTTGAGGAAGAACTACTGAATCGCGTAGACGAGAATCCCTCAACAAGCACTAGAGACGTGGCTAGAGAAGTGCAAGTATCAAAAACTAAAGTGTGGCAAACGCTGCGTGAAGAGGGGCTGTATCCGTTTCACGTCCAACGTGTACATGCTCTTCAACCTGCCGATTTTCCAGCAAGAGTGCGGTTTTGTGAGTGGTTGTTGCATCAACATGACAATAATCCGGACTTTTTGAAGTGCATATTGATGACAGACGAATCTACGTTCACGCGTAATGGGGTGAATAACTTTCGCAACACTCATGTTTGGTCAGTAGAAAATCCGCACGCTGTCCGTCGGGCACATTTTCGGTGAATGTTTGGGCTGGCATGGTGAACGGTATGCTCATTGGACCATTTGTTCTCCCAAATCGATTGGACGGGATGCAATACCTAGACTTTTTACGCAACATGTTGCCTTCCTTGTTAGAAGATGTGCCATTAAGTGTAAGGCAATCAATGTGGTTTATGCACGATTGTGCACCGCCCCATTTTAGAGGCGAAGTGCGTGAGTTTTTGGATGAATTATTTCCGAATAGGTGGATCGGACGTAATGGACCCGTAGCGTGGCTTCCGCGATCTCCAGACTTAACACCATGTGATTTTTTTCTTTGGGGAGAAATGAAACGCTTAGTGTACAAAACTGAAGTGCATACGGTTGACGAACTTCGTCTCAGAATTGAACAAGCTGGTGCTATCATTCGGGGGAGGGACTCCATTCTCAAAGCCTGCACCGATGCTTGGCTACGTCGTGCACGCACCTGTGTTTTTGAATCAAACGGCGATAACTTCGAACAATACCTATAAAGTACGTTTACCTAAAAACTGAAAACGCGGCAACGCCGTCTTATTTGTTACCTCTGTTCGTGGTCTTTACCACCGCCGGCGTCTGCTCGGTAGCCCATCAGCTGATTTCATTTTCTGTTGGAGCGGTATGATTTCGGGCAGAGACGTACTTAGCCCTTCTCGTCAACTGGAGAGTGAGTACTTTTTCCTTTATTTTTTTTACTTGGTCGCCCTCGTTTCACTACATATTACCTTTGTTATTTCAAGGGTAGTTGTTTCTGAAAAGGAAAACCCCAACTTTGCGGACACCCTGTATAATCTAGCAACGTTAATGAAGTTCCTTAAAACTGTTATTACTATTTTTGATCCAGCCCTGTCAGAGCACATTTCTAATTTAAAAGCGGACATTGGGAAACTACAGTGCAGACATCGGGGAAGTACCGTTTGCCTTTGGGTAATTTTTCGCGAGCAGTCAAATGTGCGAAGTCCTAGCGTGGTGGTGCGTTTTATTTTTGGTGCATTAAAGATCGGCAAAAAATAAAGACAATGACAGGGAGGAGAAAGGATCCCGTGTGGAAATATTTTAAGGAGACTGATGCCAAAGTTGGCTCGAAAATAAATAAAAGAGCAAAATGTTTAACCTGCAATGTGGGTATAGTGCCACTGGTGGCTCAAATGCGCAAACATATTAAAAATTGTAAACAACTTAAACAAGGAAGTTTGTTAGAAAACAAAATATTCATATATCAGATAGTTCTGATACTGACAATGATGATGTTTATTTATTGTATTTCCTCAAAGTTAAGTAGCTTGGAGAATTGTGAAAACGGTAAGAAATACCTAATTGGCGTCAAATTTTGTTTAAATATGTTATATAAGAATAAAACAGGTACTGAGGCTCGGTATATACTTTTTGTTTTGTACAAGCAAATTTCTGTTAATCAATCGCATTGAATTTTTAGGTATTACAAACATATATACATGTATATATATATACTTTATTTTTTAGATGGCTCGTCACAGACCTACTACACTAACAGCAATGTTATGATTGATTCCAGTTCAGCGTGATCCAGTTTTTTGCTACTGACGAGAAGACGAGATAGAGACGATGGCCAACTAAAATCGCGACTGGATTCGTTCGTTGTCAAATGTAGCGAGATGAAAAAAATTGATATCCAAGTAGCACGTTATGTTGATGCGATAAACTGTGCTTTTAGAGCAGTGGAACACCCCGAGTTTAAGCGGCTAATGGAAATGTTGCGTCGAGGATATCAGCCAGCTAATCGTCAGCAAATAGGAAACGAACTTCTTAGTAACGTATACACAACTTTACAAGTATAAATAAAAAAGGAATTAGGTAATAAATCAGTATGTATGTCTGTTGATGGTTGGAGCAATATTAGAAATGATTCAATAGTGTGTGTGTCATTAAGAAGGTAAAGTTTATCTAATTGACACTGTTGACACTGAAGACATACTTCTGAACACTTGTTAAATTTATTAGTGGAGTCTATAAGGCGTTGTTACACAGATTATAATTATACTGTTAGAAGTGTTGTGACAGATAATGCTGCAAATATGACTAAGATGCGTGCAGAACTAGTAAAATGCGATGGAGCAGGTCTAGCTGATATACTTACTTATGGGTGTTCTGCACACATTTTAAATTTATTTGCACAAGATATTCAGGTGCCCACTTTGAAAGAACACATGAAGAAAATAATAAAGTACTTTAGAAACGTACATTTTGCAGCAGGCAAATATAAAATATCTGTCGGAAAAGCCCTCGTGATGCCACAAGATGTTAGATGGTACACTTTAGCTGACTCTATTGAATCTAGAGAACTGGCACATATTATCAAACATTTGTTTAGAATACCGAGCTGCTATTGATATTCATATCTCGGAAAAATTAATTATCTAGATTTAAAAACAAATGCCCAGGACTATTTGGTAAAGTTAAAACAAATAACAATTGCCCTAGATAAGATTCAACGAGATGACTGTACAATTAGGGAATGCAAAGAAATTTGGATAGACCTATTTTCCTTCTTAAAGAAAATGAAAATTGCACTGATTCAGATAGAAATCATTTTGTAAAAAGGTTTCGTATGGTTATGTCTCCAGCACACTATCTGGCAAATATACTAGATCACCGATTCCAAGGTCTTAAATTGAATCTAGAGCAACGCGAAGAAGGTGTTGAGCATGCCTCTCATTATTATCCTGAAGCGATGCATTTTATTGTAAGTTATTAGGCAAAAACATCACCAGTTGAGGATTATTTAGTTCAAGACAATTTGAAAGGCCTGACACCACTTGTTTGGTGGAAGTCCTTGAAAGATAACTTAAATGAAGTTACAGTTGACCCAGTTCAGCAGCTTCATACAGCAGCTGCTTCATCTGATGGGCTTGAGTGTATTTTTTCCAGATTTGGGATAATCCACGCCTAACTTCGTAATAAGTTGAGAATAAAAAAAGCGGCAAAATTAGTTATAGTATTTAAACACCTAAATCAAAGCGTGAAAAAGTAGATTACATTTTTTTACTTGGAGTTCCGTAAAAAGTAGTAAAAACTAAACTATGTACATTTTCCATGATTTTATATTTAAAAAATATGGATTTAAGGATTTTTTGTTAAATAAGATGGGTTGTATACTTTTATAGAAATTTGTTATTTAATGTTATTATACAAGTAAATACATAGTCATATTATATGATTATTCTGCAGCTTGTAGTGTACTAGTATTAGAGTTCAATGCAGTTTATTAACTTCACTCGTTCGTTAAGAAACAGATTTTTTTCCACTAGTATTAGTTCCATATTTCCATGTTTGGTTAATTAATAAAAAATAAAATAAATTTTTAGTACCTGTGTTTTAACCTATGGCACTTTTTAAACAGTTTAAAACAAATTGGTTTAAAACACCATCATTGTTTTAAATAGTTCTTAAAACACCTGTTTTAAACATTTTGATTAAAACATAACAACCCTGCCCAAATGTCCACAACTATCACAATTTATCACCAATTCGTTGCCAGAACATGCCTATTATCTACCACTCAAATCGTTTATTGGTTAAATATACTCAATACATTTAAAATTGTAGGGATGTACCGGTGGCCTACTCGGCCCATTTTACAAAGTAGGGTTGCTTTATAAGAACAGTAAAAAAAAAACATAACCGAAACTCAGCATAAATTGAAGTATCATCAACGAGCCATCCGCGTTTTGCAAAGAAAACGTTTATTCGTAAGAGGATAATTTAGGTTTAGTTCTTCCCGAATTTGAGTTAATTCCGTCACAACATCGAGCAGTTTTAATTTGTGCATCTTTTGTAATATCACCCTTAAGGCAGCCTAGAAACCTGTAGGATTTAAACTCAGTATTACTGATGACAGATTCTAATAGATGATTTTTCGAAATTTGAGCAGCATAGAGCCTGACGTTGTCTACGTTCAACAGAATGTAGGCTCAAGATGTCGAGCATATATCTTCCAAATGTAAAGCTTCAATTTAAATCTACAAAAAGAATAGGGAATAAGCTCGTTTTCTTTTTTGTATTGTATCTATATTTCATTCATGGAAATATCTGTATTCTTTTTATTAAATATTAAAATGTGAAAAATGTGAAATGACAATAACGTTGATTTAAACGCCGCACTTTTGGCGCGATTCGCATTGTCGTCACAATTCAGGGTTTGTTATTTTATTCTATATCTGGCTATTTGCGGTCAAATTTTGAACGGTTCGATTTCTCCGTTGTTGTTTTTCCGAGGTTGTCTTGGCGCCGAAATTCTCCTGCTGGTTGCAGCATATCCGCTGTCAAATTGTGTTAGTATTTATGCTGAAAAAGTGGCGAAATCTATTGTCGTTAGATACCTTAGTGGCGGATTACGCGTTATCCCGTTCTCTTTGGAACTGATCATACTGATACGTTGACAATCAATAACGGTGACAATGGTTTGGCTGCTCACTTGCCGATATCGTGACGTCACGCCAATAGCTTTGCGTTTCGATATTTTAAAATTGCCGTGTACTTTTCCCATTTTTTATTATTGAATACTCGCAAGAGCGAGTAAGTATGAAATAAGGTTGAGGGTGGATTTCTGTAGCAATACAACCAATATTTTATCACATACCTCCCTATCATTTAAATATAAATACTACCATAGTACACTATAATGATTACATATACAAACATTCTACTAAACTGGGCCAATTAGCACTAGTTTTTTTAAACCACACTAAACTTTTTATACTAGCATGAAGATGTTACTGCTACATGTTACATAGGCAAAGACAAATCATGCTGTACAAGTGTACATCATACACATTCCAATACTTTCATTGAATTAACAAAATAAAATATGTAATTTTTTTTTGATGTTTCATATTGTATTTTGAGATAATGTTGAAGAACCAATAAAAGCTTATGAAAGAAACTCTTCATGTGATATAGGCAATAGAAATTGTTCATTTTTCTATTAGCCAATGAATCAAACAGTGGAGAAATGTTTATTTAGAAAATTCATTTGATATGTTACTAACCTACATAAATTATAGTCTATTCAAGTCTCATTCACTCTGTGTTATAACAAACATCTGCACTTAATTTGACATTTATGGGCCACTGGCCAATAAGAGTGCACAAATTGGAACATTGCAAATATATTGTATTTGGGTTTCCAGTGTCAACTAAGAAAAATAGTTTATTTTGTTTTAATATTCATTGTCACATTTTGACAGGGTCAGGTAATATTTTGATTTTGACAGCTTTTATAAGTACCAAGGGAAAATTTGAGGCTAGGGCAGGTGACATTTCAACTATGAAAAAGATATTTTAAATGTTATATAAATATCATTAGCTAAATAAATGCAGTAATTCTTTATTAAAAATACCAGTCTTCAGTTACTTCGGTCTTGAAACAAGATAATTGTATAGTCTGACAGTTCACAGAGCCTTAGTGTAGTGGTCATGTTTGGAAACTAGAAATTTTCGTAATAGTTTGCTGATGTTGCTTTCATTGTTTATACTCTTCATTGTAATGAAGTGACAAAAGCAAGAAAGTAGAAAAAGAAGAAGAGTAGAAATGACAATTGATATGAAAATTGCCAGAGAAGTGATGCCAGGGTAATGACCAAAATGTACATGACCTCAAAAAAGAAAATTAAGGTACATTCATTATTATATTATTGTATGATTCATGACTTTTGTGTCGACAAATGTTTTTTACATAGTTGTAGTAATGTACCGATAAAACTCACAAAATTTTACTTATTACCAGGGACTGACACCACTGCCAACAGGGTATCTGAGGACACTAAGTGAGCAACTGATACAATCCTGGTTACAGTATGCCAAATCACACTAGTTCCATAATTTTTTTATTTGCTACACATTAATTGAGATTAAATTGTGAAATTGTCACATATACATGAAAACATGCAATTTGAATTATGCCATGTGAGGGTGACACAATTTTCAGAAAATGTGTATTTATTAATACAAAGAGAATTTATGTATTATTATATCAGTTACATATATAGAGATTTATTCAGATTTGTGGTGAAAGTTGGGAATGGAGCATGCCAGGGAGCATACATTTTGGTAATTTTCAAGCATATTGCCTAAATCATAATGGTTACCTTAATTTCATCATATGTTCTAAATAGAAGAACACAATTTGGATGGTTTATATAATAACTAGTTGACTTGCTTAACATTTGTTTGACAAATCATTGTTAATCCTCAATACACCCAGATATATACTTACTTTGCATCACCTTTTCCCTTCTTCTGCTGCATTTTCTTAGCTAATCTAGCTCTATTAGCTGCAAGTGTGTCTTCATCTAAGAATCCATTTCCAGCTGGCTTTGGAGATGCAGGAGGAGATACTTTAACACCTTCATCAACAAAATTTACCTCTTTTTTCTTCACAGCTTTTACAGTACTTTTTTCTTCACCTTTCTTTTCTATCATAGATGCAACAGTTTTCTTTGATTTTAATGATTCTTCAAATGTTCTCATCTGTTTTGGTTGTCTAGCTTGACAATTTGCCCATTCTTCAGCTTTTTGTAAAGTTTTATTGTAGCTATCGACAAAGCTAAAATTATTAAAAATCTGACCATCTGATAGTTCATTTTTGTATTTGTCTCTAAATTCCAAGTGTATATCATTCAAAAATTTATCCACATAGGAAAGCTGCAGAATTTTTTGATAGGCCACAACAAATACCAGGTCAAACTCATTGTCCAGTTTGTATTGTAGAGACAACCCATTATGATCAAAAGTATTCAGTCCAGTTCTTTCCTACAAACAATAACGACTTTAATTTCATCAATGACCCCGGAACAGGTTATTCATTAAAAAAATAATGCTCATTAATTGAATTATCAAAAACCAAGTTTGTAACATATGTGTTAAGAAAAACTACCTGTAAAATAACATTTTTTATCAGAGCATTCACAGAAGGCGTGAATATTTGATTAGTGCTTTGGAAACACCATAACACAATGCCTCCTTTGCTGAAAATGGTGAATAAATCCAACATATTTTCAAAAATTATATCTACACCAACTACAAGATCGTATTCTCTTCAAAATAAAAAATCAACACGTCACCGCATGACAACTCCACATGTCTCTTTTACTTTCAGGCACAAAACACATAAGACTGAAGAAGTGGGAGCTGCACGTTAAACAATGGCAACACCGTTGACGTTTTGTCAGCTGGTTGCGCCGCCTACTTGCCTGGAGATATGGAGGAACTATCGAAAGAATGCCGAGAATGCGCCTGGAATAAGGAATGCTAGGAATTTGCCGGGCTCGTTTGTTCATAATTTGAAATCTGCTGAAAATGATATTTCCGATATTGAAGGACTAGTTCATGTACATATATATTATTCAAAAAAATATCTCTTTCAGAAATTTTACTGAGAAAAAGGTACAGCATAATAAAATCAAACCAACCAATTATGAAGCACCAAATTTATTTAGTTTCAAAATATATTCATATGCTGTTCACAATGGTATAGAAATTGTATTACATGAAAATATAGATAGATTCATTTCAAATTCATGTTGAGTGTTGTAAAACACAAGTGTATCACTTCATTGTACAGCTTCTTGATAATTCTGAAACAATACAGAAAACAATAATGTAATTCATAATTATTTGTAAATAAGCTATACGCTTTTCATTAGTTTGGTCAGAGCTATCCCTTCAATTTGTTGGCCTTTCGTACTTAATACACCGGTGCCAACTACAAGGATTATAAAAAGGCTGAATCCAGACATGCAATTTTAAATAAATAATCTACCAAATACATCATGGGTCATGTTAAGCTCACAGCCCACCTGTAGCGCTTTATGACATGACAGAGTCTCCTGAACTTCTGCATCTCCCACAATAGTCACACTACATTTCACGTATACCATTACAGGTACTGATAGTGTTGTTTTATATTTTATGCTCATTTTTAACGAAATATCTTCAAAAGCATCAGTGTTGATAAACTCAATATTAACCAAAACAAACGCCATTTTTGATATTTTTACATTCAGAAATTCAGATGAAGATAGAGAATTCAGGCAGGGCTGCCAGGTTTTCAGTCACGTTGGTGGTCAAGTTTTTATGAGAAAATCCCCAGAAATCGCCAATCCAAATTAACTAGGAGGGGGGGGGGGGGGGGGGTGGCTCTTTCTCCTCATCAAGCAACACTGTGTCAAAAGTGTTAGGATGGGATGTCGTTGATATGCTCGGATCACATGACACCTTGACATGACATGTGTCCATATGCGTCGTTGTGCTTAGAGAACAGAACTGCCGCTGGTCCTCGTATCATGTTTCATCAATCTCTATTGAAAATCAAATTAGTCTGACGGCTTGAGTTCTTGTGTTAGAGAGAAGTGTCTATAGATACATATGTTAGAAAGAGATAGAAGCCGGCTGCATAGCGAAGCTCATCACCGCATTGCCTATCAACGCTGACGCGGAAATCTGCCATTATGTTACATCAGTTTCTTGAATTAGGCTGCATGTTGAAAACATGCGTTAGTTTACTCTCTACGGATCTTGTACATTCCAAGGCAAGGTTTTCACCTCTATGAAAATAGACGAGCGATTTTGGTCAGTACCCATGTAGCGCTCATTGAGGAGTGGCGCCCTGCTTCGAGTAGGCCTCTTTCTTGGGTTTGCCAGTAACTAACCTATTGTGATTGTGGAAGCTTGCACGAGCTTCTGCATCGCCGTTGCTAGGCCATCTGTCTTCAGCTGGCTTCTATCTCTTTCTAACGTGTCGATACACACGTCTCGCGCTTCTCTCTCGTACAAATTGAACTCAAGCCGTCAGACAAATTTTATTTTCCCTGTATATACATATCAGCAAAAATTGATGACAATTTAATTGGCGTCAGAAATGTTAAAAAATCGCCAGTTTGCTATATACTGGGCCCCATTAAAGTAGCCAATCGCCAAGCTTTCCATTTGAAGTGGTCAAATCGCCACTTTGGCGAAAAATCGGCACGCCTGGCAACCCTGAATCCCGGCAAGAACACGTCACGAGATGCCGGTAATATAGATACCTCGATTTTGTCTGGAGATGATGACCTTGGAGTTGCCAGTTCGCCCATAAGACGTTTCACCCCCCTGACACTGAAGGTTTAATTACAGCCGACGTCAACTACGAGCCGTGATGAAAGAAAGGCAACACCGCGCTCGGACGGCATGGTAGTGCTACCTGTGAACGTCGGCCGCCAGCGGCTGTGTGCTCCGTCTCAATTCTCCTTTTATTACACTTGTATTACTGGAGTCTATTTCTCATATATTATAGTCACCGATCACTTTGAACACATACACACACTTTGAAGCTTAGAAAACAAGCTTATCTCTTAATTACAGCCTCTGCGATTCCCAAATTACAAATTGAAAAGGTTATGTTTTCTCAGCGTTTTGAGCGGCGGGAGTAACACTACCACCTACGTTGCCAGATTTCTTTGTTCACGGCTCGTAGTTGACGTCGGCTGTGGTTTAATTCCATGCTATTCAATGGCAACACGGTGACTTGTGTGATTGTCAGCGGCCATTTTTTGAGGGTGCGACGGGATTGCCAGATTGTGCATTAATACCCCGCAGCGTTGCCAGCTCTATATATAAATCTGAGAATGCTATACATTTATATATAGCATGTGTTCAAAGGGGATAGCCGACAAAAAGTAATTAACTAAAAATCTATTTCTGCAACTAGGGAATTATTGCCGGCGATGATATGTATCTAGAAAAATTACTCATAATAGAAACAATCAATATATATAATAATTTTTCGAGATACTTTTCATCGAGGACACCTATTCCCTAAGAGCCGAAATCGATTTTTTTATTATCTGGTTTTTGGCTGCTACCCCTTTAGAAGTTCGCTCAGTAAATTTGATCTGGCCCATAAATTGTCTTAATATATGAATACTTTTTCAAGATACCTTTCATCGAGGTCACCTATTCCCTAAGGGTCGAAATCGATTTTTTTATTATCTGGTTTTTAGCTGCTACCCCTTTAGAAGTTCGCTCAGTAAATTTGATATATCCTATAAATTGTCTTAATATGTAAGTATTTTTTCGAGGTACATTTCATTAACTCTTTCAGTACGACCTTTTTTAATTGTACTGTCACCACCGCCGACTCACTTTAGGTATATTCTTTAATTCACCGGTTGATTCCATCACTGACGGATCCGGTGAACTCATGGTTGACAGCTGATGTGATGACGTCAGCAACCGGTTCCGTTGAATGGTCGTTAATAAAAAGACGCATTTTTAGCCTTCAAGTTGCTGTCATATGAGAATACCTAACCTTTGTTTTATCGTAAATGGATACTTGTTCATTTTCATTTGAACAGCGTATCATTTAAAATCATTATGGAAATGTAAGCAGCAGTTGGTATTGTCGTGGAACGTTTGTTAAGCGATTCGAGTGATGATTCTGATGAAGAAGTTATCCAGCGGAGAGAATCAATATAAGAACTATAAATCAGAGAACCAAGAAATTTTCAGATATCGACGATCTCAAATCAATACGAGGCATTGATTTGAAAACGTCGATGCTTCCCGTATAAGAACCATCGATATGGATTTTCTGAGAGCATTCCTGTATTCATACAGGAATAAAAACAGAACAAAATCAGAAAATCGACATTTTCGGACTTCGAGGTATTAATATGAGATCGTCGATATGCATAATTCAAAACATATTGACTTGCTTTCAGATGCTCTGTTTATTTCAATTTGTGTTGAAAAAAACATTAAATTTCACGCGACTCCTATGCTGCTAACTTTAATCTTTTCTTCTTCCATTTTTTCACACAAAACTGTAGTTGTCAAAAACTGATAAAATGTAGAGGTTAGAATATCGTGGATCAACCGAGCCCGAACGTCGGTGGATGCTGTTGGCACCGGTGGCATATCCACCATCAATATAGAGACAAGTTTGATGTACAACCGGTCGTTCCAGCGGAAATTAAAGGACGCAAACTTGGCTAACCGGTTGCACCGGTAGCTCAACCGGTGAATTTAAGAATATACCTATAGCATTGTCTGGGCGCCTGATGACGTATATATACGTCGCCTGATGACGTATACATACGTCACCATAATAAAGGTTAAAGTACAGTAACACAGGGAACAATGCAGCTTGAAAACTTTATTACTCAATAAAAATCAAAAATTTAAATGCTGAAAATATAATAAAAAAACTCAGGAGTGAACAAAAAAAAACATTGAGCAAGTTAATTTTTAAAAGCCGGCTACTTGATGATAAATCCGAAAGCAGGGCATTTCACATAGTCCAACGTCGCATTTTCTACATATGTAGCTGCTCTCCGTTCTTTTCTTTGTTCCTGCTTTCGTCTGGGAGCAGACTCGGCGTCTCCTAGTGGCAGTTTTCTTTCTCTCTTTTCTTGGAACCAATTCCGGAAAATGCCGTTCTGTCAACCTTGCACTTCCCTGATCAAAATGAAGTGGCTTTGCTGTTGTTGTAGCTTACGCTTTTGGCCACGTGTAGACCTTTTAGAGGGACCAGCGCGCTCTTTCTCCGCCATTTTATGTAAGACTAATCGCAGTCTAATGCTTGGTTTCAAAAATCGCAAGCATGATACCGACGTTAGACAGTGTAGCCGGATGTGGTAAATTTTCGGCAAAGCCAAAATCTTCCGTCGACCGGCTAAGCGGTGAGCGAAACGTTGACTAAGCATCCCACAAACCGGCGCGAAATATTCGCTTTGGCTGCGAAAATTTCGCGGCGATGAATTCGCGATCAGATTAAAACGCGGCGGTTTACGGACAGGCTCAGACTTGTGCGTTTTTGACGCCGTTCTTCAAAAATTCGCAATGGCAAAAACGGAATTATTGATAGAAATAGTGAAAAAGTATCCTTGTTTGTATGATTTGTCGAACAATGAATACAGGAATGTGAGAAAGAAAGACAAGATTTGGATGGAAATAGGAAAAGAATTAAATACAAATGGTATGTACCTAATATTTTTTATTAACTTGTTAAATAATTTACAGTCTACACAAATGTGAAAACGAACATTCTATATATTGGGCATAGGCATATCAGAATTAAAATAATTTACGAATTTGTCACGAGTAGAAAATGCTAGCCTTGCTGCCCGCCGAGGATCATTTGCTATATCA